ATGGGCCCGTGCGCGGGGAGCGCGCGATCGCGCGCGGGCGCGAGGGCGACGACGACGCGGTGGAGGTCTTGTCGCGACGGGCGTTGGCGGGGAAGGCGGTGACGCTCGCGGCGGCGCTCGCGGCGTGGCCGGCGGATAAGCGGGCGCTGGCGGAGGGATCGATCGAGAGCGAGTACTGGGAGCGCGTGGAGCTGCCGCTCGAACCTGGGGTCATTCTTCTGGATATCGCGTTCGTGAACGAACAGCGTGGATTTTTGCTCGGGACGAGGCAGACGATCTTGGAGACGACGAACGGTGGGAAGACGTGGGACGCGCGGGATCTGACGGGTTTGTTGGACGACGACGTGAATTATCGGTTCAACAGCGTGTCGTTCGCCGGCGAAGAGGGCTGGATCATCGGTAAACCGGCGGTGCTGTTGCACACTGTGGACGGCGGTAAGAACTGGGAACGCGTTGGTTTGAGTCCGAGACTTCCGGGCGCCCCGTTGTTGGTCACGGCGGTGAAGGACAACGGCACGGCGGAGATGGTCACCGACGAGGGCGCCATTTACTTCACCAAGGACGCCGCGCGCAACTGGAAGGCTGCCGTCGAAGAGACCGTCTCCGCGACGCTCAACCGAACGGTAAGCTCCGGTATCACCGGTGCCTCGTACTACACGGGCACCTTCTCCACCGTCTCGCGCAACGACAAGGGCGAATACCTCGGCCTGAGCTCTCGCGGTAACTTCTACATGACCTGGGCCCCGGGTCAGGCTTACTGGCAACCGCACAACAGAACTTCGGCCAGACGCGTGCAAAGCATGGGCTGGCGCAAAGATGGCGGGGTCTGGGAACTCACTCGCGGCGGTGGCGTCTTCCAGTCTCAAGACATCGGTCTTCCGGAGGAAGATTCGGAGTTCGTCGAGGCAAAAATCGGCTCGCGCGGTTTCGGCCTCCTTGATCTCGGAAGCGATCCAAAGGGTAACACGTACTGGGCCGTCGGAGGTTCGGGCAGCGTCTTCTACTCCACGGATGGCGGCAAAAGCTGGAAGCGCGACCGCGGCACCGATAACGTCGCGGCCAACCTCTACAACGTCAAGTTCCAATCTGAGACGCAAGGTTTCATCCTCGGTAACGACGGTGTTTTGTTGCGCTACATCGGTCGCAGCCCGAAGTGATTCGCTCAAATCGGTAACGTTCAATTTGATTTGTAATATCTGACTTCAAAGTCGAAAATCGGTCTTGTTTTGTGTTACATAACTCGCTCGTTCGTACAGAAAGTGCGAAGAATATTCTAGGAAAAAAATTGCTTGCACGCTGCGCTATTTGAATGTCATGGCTTGGAGGTTGTTCTTACGCTTGATCAGATCGCTTAGCAGATCGTCGGAAGAACCTCCGCGATTCAACTGGTGAAATTGTCTGCGATGCAGCTCGTAAAGTTCCTTGAGTCCCACGGTGTACAATTGATGATACTTGTCGATGACGTCGGGCGACGGATCGTCCACCTGAGGGACGTGTATGGGATTACCGATGATCACTTCGATCGGTTCACGCTTCGGCAGCACTCCCTTACGCCCAAAAATGCGACGCCACACCCCCCGACTGAGCGAGCGGCCGTAAAAAGCCGGCGGTGAGATTCCGATGAGTTGCTTGATGTACGTCTGAAACTTGCGCAGGCGCCCGCCGTCGGGATTCTCGACTTGCTCGAAAATATCGTTCTCCCCGAAGGCAAAAACAGGCACGAGCGATGCACCCGTGCGCAGAGCCATTTTCACGAACCCTTTACGTCTCGCCAGCGTGAGCGTGGCCGATCCCGGACGAGCGTCCAACGCCTCTGCGGCGCCGCCGATGACGATGGCGACGCTCGCGCCTGGTGCGCGGGTAAGATTGGTCATGACGCTCGCCTTAGTGACGGAGTTAATCCCGAGCGCCATCAACACCTCTCGCGTAAATGGAAACTTGAAGTTCACCGATAACGTCAAGAGCCGTAAATCCAATCCTGGAAATGCTTCGTAAAATCCCGTCGCTTCGGTGGCAAACGTCATCAACGCCCCGACGCCGATGACGCCGTGCGGATGATACCCGAACAAGTAATTCCCTTTTGGATCGAGCTCGCCGCTCTTGTATAATCGAACTGGGAAGTAATCAGCCAGGATGCGCCAAAAAGGTAGACGTCTCGACCACGCCACGAATCTAGTGCCCGAGCTATCCGAGCGCCGGTCCAACAGCACGTACCAACCAATGTATCCCAAGAACGCGTTCCGCATCCACGTCGCGTGCCCGAAAACGCAGTATGTCGGATAGATGAATATCGCGCTCAATAAGAACGCATAAATCATCACCACGATCCCCACCTGCTCCGCGTGCGCTGCCGCGCGATCGTCTCTTCGCCTCCCGCGCGGAGCGAACACCGGCCACACGAGCGCCGTGAAGTACGCCCCCAGCGGTACGAACGCCTCCCCGATGACGCGATACCACAGATAAAAGTTCAAAATCCAAAAAATCAGTCCTTTGATTCGCGCGTTTAATCGTCGTCAGTCGTCTCTTCGTCTCTTCGTCTCTTTGTCCTTCGCGCGCTTTGTCGAACGCAACGCCTCAATCTACACATCTTGCACGAACGCACAGCCCCCGAGCGCGCGCGACGATACTAAAACGCACCCGCAACCTTATCTATCCCTCGCGTTTCCATCCCCGGCGGCTCGACGAACGTCGCCAGGGCTTCCGCGCCCGCCAGACCGCTCGCGCGTCTTTGTTCGAGAAATCGCTCCTGCGCGCGCGTCGTCCCCGGCGCCGGGGACGACGCGCGGCGTATCGGTTCATCGTCCATCGCGTGAACGTCTCGACCGAGCGCGTGGACTCCGTGCGCCGCGTGCGCGCGGCGCGGCGCGCGATGCGGTGTCGAGACGGTTGTGCACTCGAGTCCGCCTCAATCCGCGACGCTGTGTTCGTCGTCGCCACGCGCGCTCGAGACATCGTGAGACGCGGAGACGCGCGTGGATTCACGCTCGAACGCGTCGTCCGACGAATCGCGGCGAGAGGGACGTCGCTCGCGTGAACGAGGACGGAATTTGCGAATTTCAACCCTTTAGTGTTGACGTGGTCTCAACCGACGCTCGCGACGCACGAAGGCGTTACGACGAGCGATGACGCGGATGCGAAGGGTGACGGGGTTGAAGTCCTTCCTGAGAACGCTCTTGAGGCTCACGAACGCGACGTTGTTGGCGGGGGGATTGGCCACGGCGTTGTTCGCGTTTCACCTGTGGTTGGGCTTCAACCGAAGAAGAAACGGCGAGGAGGTCGGGCCGGATTGGGCGGATCCGTCGAGCGGGGGTGGGGGGGTCGATGATTTTGATTCGAGCTCGATGGAGTCGGCGAAGCGCCGGGTGCGGATGTTTTTCGAGACGGAACCTTGGTTTTTGTACTTTGTCGGCGGGAGCGGCGCGTTTTGCGCGGCGACGGCGTGGCTCGGGTTGGCGGGGGCGGAGAACGGGAATGTGTGTTGTTTGGGCATGTACGCGCATCAAGTGATGTTGATGGTGCTGCTGCAGTCGGCTTTGTCGGCGTACGTGGTGAGTGGGAAGGCGTACGCGTCGGCGCCGACGGACGTGACCGGGGAGTACGCCAACGCGTGGACGTTCATACGAGAGCACGAAAAAGCAGTGACGGCGATTGTCCTCGTCGTGTTCTTCGTGCAAATATTGAGCATTATATTGGCGGTCGCTCTGCGTCGAGCCGCGATCGAAAGCGGAGGCGCGGACAGCGACGATGAGGAGGATAGCTACTACTTTGACCGCTACGGACAAGAGCGGGCACCCTTGGTGGGCTCGTACGAACGCGCCGCCTCGGGAGACAGCGCTTGGCGAATTAGGATGAGAGAAAAGTACGGGTTAGACACCGCGGATTTTGAATATAGCCCTTCGCGACCTCCGGCCTCGAGAGTCGACCGAGAGAAACAGCGAGAACGAGATGCCAACGCATGCGTGATTCAGTGATGTCAAACTACAAATGCAACCTATTTTGTCAAAAAAGTCATGTACGGATCCTTACTCGCCTCTAACACATCCGGTCGATCGCTCTGCTTGTATGCCAGGCAACGCCTGATGAACGCTTTGCCCTCAGAAGAAATAGACGGCTTGCTTGGAAACTCCACGTCCTTCGCATTTCGAATCGTTCCTGCGTGAAGGATTTGCTCCTGCGACATGTCGTGCCCGAACGGTCGTTTTCCATAAATCATCTGGAACAGGATGACCCCACAAGACCACGTGTCAACCTTGCTCGAGATTTTTGGCGGCGCCGGACCCGTCTCAAAGCACTCAGGCGGCAAGTACCAGTACGTCCCGGCGCCCTGTGACGTGAGCTCCATGCCGCTATCGGCACCGAATCCAACGTTGCGCTCCTCCATGATTTTGCTCAAACCGAAGTCTGTGATCTTTACTCGACCGGCTTCGTCGAAAAGAATGTTCCCAGGTTTCAAATCGTAGTGGATGATGCGTTTTGGTCCGGTGCTCATGTACGCCAAACCGCTAAAGACTTGCGCCAAGATGGCTCGCGCCTCGCGTTCGCTGATGCTACCTTGCGCCTTCAAGCGCGCGTCTAAATCGTCCCCGGTGCAAAGCTCCAGGACAGTGCAGAAGCTATCGCAATCAACCTCGAAAACGTCGATCAATCGAACCACATGCGGATGGTCGAGCGCTTTATGAATGGAGCACTCGCGAGCGGCGTGTCTGACGTACGTGCGCTTACGCTCTTCGCTCCACTGTGGATTCAGCTGATGCAGCTTGCACGCGACTTCGCGCATCTCCACGCAGTCGAAAGCCTTGTAAACTTCGCTGAAACCGCCTCGACCGAGGAGATTCATCAAGACGTACCGATCGCCCAGCACAGGATGCTTGTTGAATCTGGATCCGTCTTCGTCTCGCACGCGCTTGAGTGCGCGAATATGCGCCGCCTTTTCACGCTCCAGTGCCTCCCGCTCCGTTTTGATTGATTCTTCTTCTTTGCGAATGATGGCCATGCGCGCTTTGTGCACCTCTTCGCTCAAGACGTACTCGGCGTGAGCCGCCGTGTCCATCTGCGCGCTTCCTGGCGGCGGCAATTTCTTCTTTACCTGCTTTCTCTTCTCCTCGGCGAGTTTTTTCGATTCGGCCAAACGATTGAGGCGCTCATCGAGCTCATGGAACGCCCGTCCGTCTTCCCAGACTTCCTGAAGCACCGATCCCACTCTCTGAACGCCGATAGTTCCTAAACGTAAGCCCTCCTCGGCGATTTGCATGCGCATCTGCTTTCGCTCGAGCGCCGCCAATTTCACCGCAAGCTGATGGACGCCTCTCGCCCTGGCCTCGTTCGCGCGCTCGTGTTTAAGCTTTAAATCGTTGTTCAACGCCCTCAGCTCGTCACACGCGCGCTCGTACGCCTCGCGATCCTTCTCCGCCGTCGCCAACTTTTCCTCGAGGTCCTTCACCTTTTTTGCGCTCCCCGCATCCTCCCGAGCGCCCGCGGTGCTGCCAAACGCCACCAACATCTCGCGATTCGCCCCTCGCGAGTTTGTGTTTTCAAATCGTTCGAGAAGGGACGCGTTCGCCTCCTGCGTCACAGTTTTCTTTGCCGTCGCCGCCGTTTGCGACGGGTGGCGCTTCGAACGCGCGACGCCCCCCCCGCTCATCGGCCGCTCGTTCTCCGCGTCGCTCGCCCTTCGACCCGCCCCATCTCCACGTCGTCTCTTCTTCCCGCCGCCCTCACCCGATCGAACGACCCCGTACGCCGTACCATCCTCGTCGTCGCTCGAGTCGCTCGAGTCGCTCGCGCTATCCGCCACCGCGCACCGCTCCACGCCCGCATCCTCCTCGCGCCCGCCGTTCTCCCTCTCCCGCGCTCGATCGCGTCGCTTACGTCCACTCGCCGGCGACGCCGACGTCAGACGACGCTCCAGCAGTTCCATCCTCGCGCGCGCCTCGCGACTCGCCGAGGCTTGAAACAACGCCTCGACGCTCGGCGCCTCCCTCGACCGCTCGGGCGTCGTCATCGCGCGAGAGCGACCGTGGCGCGCGGGCGCGTCGCCCGCGCGCGTCTCGCCCGCGGACGACCGCGCGCGTGCGGCCGCGCGCGTGTGTCGACGCGATCGTCCCGATGAGCTGTCCCCGATGGGCTGGTTTGAATGTTGAACGCGCGGGAAAACACGTCGTGCTGACTGTTCGCCCACACGACGACGGACCAGCAACACCCGCGTGTGGACCGCGCTGGTGCGACGCACACAAAGTCGCGCGGCGCTGGTGCGACGCACACAAAGTCGCGCGGCGCTGGCGGCCCGGCGGCGGCGGCGGCCCGGCGGCGCGCCTGGACGCGACGCGCGATGTTTTGGGGCCTGCGACTCGAACCCGGACGGTGGACCCCGTACGTGCCGCCGCCGGACGTGGACGTGCGCCTGCACGTCTCCCAGATCGCCCTGCGCGGGGACGTCGAGGATGGCGATCGAGTCGTGGTGAAGATGCGATGCGAGACGGATGAGGCGGTGCTCGCGGGCGTGGACGCGTCGATGCGAGGGGACGACGACGAGGATGACGATGAGGATGATGATTCGTTCGAAAAGGAGGAGTACCGCGTGTGCGTCCTGATCGGTGGACGTTGTGAGTCGCAAGGGGTGGATTTGGTCCTGGATGAGTACGCCGAGTTCACCGTGGAGGGAAAATGCGGGTGCGATTTGACGGGGTATTACATGCCCGAATTCAGCGATGAAGGGGATGATGACGCCGATTACGACGAGGACGGGATGATGCCCGGGTTTTACGACGATAGCGACGACGAGGAGATCGATTCGGACCTCGAAGACGTCGACATCGACGACTCCGAGGACGATTCCGAAGACGAAGATGAAGACGATTCCGAAGACGATTCCGAAGACGATTCCGAAGACGACGATGACGACGAAGATGATTCCGAGGACGATGACTCCGAGGACGACGAACCAGTCGTCACGAAGAAGGGCGGCGTCAAGATTCAAGAGATCAAGGAGGAGAAGAAGCGACCGGCGGAGGAAAAGCCGGCGAAGACTCCCGAGCCGAAGAAGCAAGCGGTCGAGCCGAAGAAGCAAGCGGTCGAGCCGAAGAAGCAAGTGGTCGAGCCGAAGAAGAAGCCGGACACTCCCAAGCGCGTCCACAAGAACGGGATGGAAATCATCAACACGTTTGCGTCGAAGAACGCCAACGCCAAGGTCGCCGCCGGCGGCAAAAAGGTTGCGATGAAGTACATCGGCAAGCTCCCGAGCGGTAAGATTTTCGATCAAACCAAGGGTAACGCCACGTTCACTTTCCGCTTGGGCGTGGGCGAGGTCATCAAGGGCTGGGACGTCGGCGTCGAGGGCATGCGCGAAGGCGACAAGCGCACGCTCATCATCCCGTCGGCGATGGGCTACGGCAAGAAGGGCATCAAGGGCGTCATCCCGGGCGGATCCGCCCTGCACTTCGACGTCGAGCTCATCAAGGTATTCTAATCAACGTTTTGTTTATTTTCCCGCGAACGATGACGTTTCTCAGCGAAGACGGGAACCCCACGACTAGCGACGCTTTGTCAAGTAATATTACAAGAGACGTCGACCACCGACCGCGTCACGCGCGACGACCCCTCCGCGCATCGACGCGCGCTCTACCCCCCCGCTCCATCCTCCACCTCATCGTCATCCGGGACCACGAACACGCCCCCCCCACCGCTCCCGTCCCGCCGCGTCACCGTCCGCCTCCGCGCCCCCGACCCGTCCTCCAACCCGCGCGCCTGCGCGCGCGCGATGAACCCATCCAACCGCGTTCCCGCGACGCACATTCCCACGAGCGCCGCGCCGACGACGAATCCAGCGATCTCGTTCGCCGGCGGCAGCGCCGCGCGCACCGCGCGTCGAACACCCCGCGCGCGTCCGCCCGCGCCGCCCATCGCCCGTCGTCCCGTCGCGACGACGCGCGCGCGCGCCATCGCGCCCGGCATCGATTCCGAAGCGTCCGGCGCGCGATCGCCGCGCCGCCGCGCCTCGACCGCGCGCGCGCGCGACGGACGCGTCGGCGTCGGACCGCGCGTCGACGTCGGACGCGTCGACCGGTGACGCATCGGTCGATCTCGATCGCGTCGACCGGTGACGTATCGGTCGATCTCGATCGCGTCGACCGGTGACGTATCGGTCGATCTCGATCGCGTCGATTGTGTGTGGGGGGTATACTGTTTGCGCACACAAAGGCGGCGTCCACGACGACGCCGACATCCGCGACCGCGCCGCCGTCGGCGTCGGCGGCACACCGTCGCGCGCGACGCCGATCGAGACGATCGAGGCGGGTGCGTAGGCACAGGACGCGGTTCGAAACGACGTCGCGCTCGACATGGCGCGCATCGAGGACGAGGGCGCGCGCGATGAGGAAGAGAATGGTGAGGATCAGGATTTTGAACAATCGGTCGACGGCGCGCAAGTCATGGCGGCTTTACAGCAACTCCATGGGAACAGCGGGCTGATCGGAGCTTTGCAACAGAAGCTCGATGGGTTGGTCGGTCTTCGGAGTGGGTTCCTGGAGGAGCTGCATCCGAAAGTGCGCGCGCGCGTGCGGGCGCTGGAGCAGTTGCAGGAGTCGCACGACGAGCTGCACGACGCGTTCGTCAAGGAAAGACGCGCGCTCGAGGCGAAGTACGCGGCGCTGTACGAACCGTTGTATAAATCTCGAAGTGAGATCGTGACCGGGGCCAAAGAGGCCGAGTGCGAGGACGAAGAGCTGCGGAAGGAGATCGAAGCGCACGAAGAGGCTGCGCCGGCTGGCGTTCCAGAGTTTTGGCTCATCGCGTTGAAGAATCACGAAGAGATCGCGGCTATGATCACCGAGCGCGATGAGGGTGCGCTCAAGCACTTGGTAAACGTCACCACGACGCGACTCGAGGGTGAGGACGAGGATGGGGACGAGATGTGCGGCTTCAAGATTGACTTTCACTTCGAACCGAATGACTACTTCGAGGACGAAGTGTTGACGAAGACGTACCACATGGACGATGAAGACGAAGACGTTTTACGTTACATCGAGGCCAGCGAAATCAACTGGAAGGCTGGGAAGAACCTCACCGTGAAGGTTCTGCGCAAGAAACCCAAGCCCGGGGCGAAGAACAAGAAGCCAATCACGAAGACAGAACCGGCGGAAAGCTTCTTCCAGTTCTTCTACCCGCCCGAAGTTCCGGACGATGAGGAGCAAGAAAACATGACGGAAGACGATGCGGAACAGTTGCAAGAGGCTATGGAACAAGACTATGAGATTGGTAGCATGATTGCCACCAACTTGATCCCGGACGCCGTCAACTGGTTCACGGGCGAAGCGTTTGCGGAGGACGACGACGAGTTCGATGACGAAGACGAAGATGACGAGGATGATGATGACGACGAAGACGACGAAGACGAAGACGACGAAGATGAAGACGACGAAGACGATGGAGAACAGGAATTTGTCGCGGGTAAGAAATCGTTCACGGCGCCTTCTCCGTTGGACGCGGGTGGAAAGCCCGGCGCAGCGGGCGAACAACCGCCAGAGTGCAAGCAGCAGTAAGAACTTTGTCATCAACTCTCTACTTTCTACAATTTCGTCTACGCGGTAGAACTACGATCATTTCTCTCGTACTTTGTCGCACCAGTCATTTATTTTTCGTTTCAGTTCCGCATCGACCTTGTGAGCGTTCGGACCCAGAGGCGTGCCCGTGAATGGGTCTGTCCCTGCGAGCCTATCGACAGTCGACAGGTCGACGTATTGTTTTGAGACCGAGAGCAATACGGGGTTATCCATGATGATCCCAGTAAGTGAATCCAAAAACTTATTCGGTGCGTCTTCGCTCAAGTCGTGCTCGTGCGGAACGCTGCGCATCCTTGCCATACCATCGAAAACTGCTTTCGTTATGCTCCTAATCATCGCCCTCCGATCCCTCTCATCATTCCCGAAAATCAATCCGCTTTTTGAGAACGTCTCGGCGTAAAATGTGCTGGATAGTAAGGGCGCGAAAAAGTCAGATGGTTCGATCTTGGACGTTTTCCTAAGACGTTTGATGATGAGCGTTTCGACTCGTTCGTCCCTCGTCAGTATGCCAAACATCGGCAACAACAAAAATTCCGGCAGCCTCTGCGAACGTCCTTCACAGAGTCTGCCTCCCCAGAGGACCTCTGGAGCCCATGAGGCCATCTCGCGCGTCAATCGAAAAATATATCCCAATATGTCAGTCAATCGATCGATGTCCTTTGAGGAGTTCAGAAAGATTTCTGGGACGTGATACATCGTCGTTTCTAGTAGGCGTAGGTGTGTGTATGCGTGCGCAAAACTGACAACGCCCACGGGCAGTACCACACACCCGAACCCGGGTATCTCTCGAATATTATTTTCATTTTCATTTTCATCATCGCAGAACGTTCGCATGTGCTCGGCGTACTGCGAAGTGTAGAATTTGAGCGACTCAAACAAACGGTTCAACCACGCGGCTCGCTCAAACTCGCTGTGGCGAATGAACTGCATCACCAACTTGGTGCAAATTTCGGACTGCTTATACTGCACCGGCTTCATCAAGAGAGGTCCGTGATCATTTAAACAGATATCCACCGTGTCATTCCACCGATACCGAAGCCAAAGGTCCCACTGTGAATGTGTTTTCAAGTCGTCCCAATCCGAGTGGAACCCGACTTCGCTCGCTCCGAACCCGCATCCAAACGTCACCCCGGCCAAGATCTGCGCCGCTCGCTCCGCGTGTCCCATGTTAACGAAAGCGTAGAACAAAAACACCGCCGCGTTCGCGATCTCGCCCTTCTCCTCCAGCGTCGTCATCAATTTTGTCTCCGTGACGAGAGCCAGTTCATAGAACATCAAACACTGTAGATCCTTCTCCAGGTCTCTCACCTCTCCCTGCTTCATGAACGACTCGTGCATCGCGAGCAAGCGATCGGGCGACCACGTGGCGTAGTGCGGCGAGTTCATGTCGACGTGCGCACGCGCGCACGCGCGCGTCTCAAAACCCGACGAAGTCGGCGCTCTGCGCGCTCGACCCGGCGCCGCGCTCGCGGCGCTCTCTCTCACATGCGCGATCCAGCGCCCGTAAGAGCTCGCGCGAGCGGTGTCTCCCCACGCTCCCGACGTCCGCGCTCACGCGGTCGCGCACCGGTGGACGCACGGGCGAGTCGATGCGTCGAGCGGTGACGTCTTCCCAATTCAGATCGCGGAAAAAGTCGTGACTCTTCAGGTCCCCTGAGCCGCGCGCGCCCGAACCGAGACGCTTGGAGACGTCGACGACGCACAGTCGAGAGATGAGCGATTTTGCGGTGAGAGAGAAGTAGGTGGAGTGGAACTTGAGGTCGGAGGAGATGATGCGGCGATGCCGGACGCCGTCGCTGACAGAGGCGAACGGCGCATAACCGACGAGCATCTCGTACAGGAGGACGCCAAAGGACCAGTAATCGGCAAGTTGATCGTACCCCTGGGCGAGCATGACCTCGGGAGCCATGTAATCTGCGGTCCCACACGTCGTGTACGCGCGCTCACCGGGAAGGAGGTGGCGACAGAAACCGAAATCGGTGAGCTTGACATGTCCGCAGGCGTCGAGGAGAACGTTTTCGGGCTTCAAATCGCGGTACACGTACTCCTCGGTGTGAATGTATTCTAGGGCGATGAAGACCTCGGCGGCGTAGAACTGCGCGACATTGACCGGAAAGCGACCACCTCTGTAAGGACCACTCACGAGGAGTTGAAACAAGTCTCCGCCTGGGAGGTAATCCATGAGCAAGTAGAGTGATCGAGCGTCCTGAAACGCGCCCACGGCGCGAGTGAGAAAGGGCGAATCGAATCGCTTCATTATCTCGAGCTCTCGGCACACGTTCTTTTCTTGATCCAAGTGTGCGATTTTCCATTTGTGCATCACCTTAACGCAGCACGTCTCCTGCGTGTTCAGCGTTTTCGCGATGAAGACAGAGCCGAGCATGCCGCTGCCAATTTCCTTGACGAATAAAACATCCTTGCTGGAGTGAACGTCGAAATCGACCGAGAGTTTTTTAGAAGTCGTCTGACGTCCGCGCTTAATTTCATTAAGGGAAATCTTTTGACGCTCGGCGTGGCGTCTGTCAAAAGACAGCCATCCAAAAGGCGAAGTCATGGCGCCTCGCAACGCCGCAAACGATCCCGCACAGCGCGACAGACAGCTCTTCGATAATTTCCGCTCCGCCTTGTTCGCCGTGTGCGTGTACGAGTCGATTCGTCTAGCCATCAGCTTAACCGTTTTTTCACCAATCATGCGATAGAACGACTCGGCGTCGAGCGTCAATGCGCTGACTTGACCGACAGCGATAACCATTGCCGTGGGCGATGTCTTGTGAATCAGACTCAACTCACCGAAATAATCTCCTCGCCTCAAGCGGTTCACCTCGGCCTTGCTACCGTCATCGACGTACACCACTGCTTCACCGTCGATGACGACGTAAAACTTCGAAGATTCTTCTTCGTACACGTCGTCGGGACTGACGATGACGTGACCACTCTCGAACGTTACTTCACGAAGTGCATCCACCAGCATGGACATCGTCCGCGCGTCAAGCGATTCTCGAAATACTTCGACCGCGTCGAGGTAGCTCGTTAACCGACATCTACGCTCGAATGTCGTGCGCTTGACCGTTTCTTGAAACGTCGCGCGGTCCAGGGCCCAGAGCTTGACCGATGAGGACTCCGCGATGACCGTCGCCGTGCGAGGACACTTGCGCACCAACGCCACCTCCCCGAACGTGTCTCCCGGATACAGCAGCTTGTATGAGAGCGCGATCCCACCCATGGGCGACGCGTCCTCGCGCTCGCTCGACGAACTCTCGCGCGTTCGCGACTCGTGCCTTCGCCGCTCGTCGTCCTCTCCGCTCGCCTCGCCCGCGTAATCCCCCGTGCGAGTCCCCACCTCGCTCGCATCCACCCTGACGCACCCGTGCGCGACGACGTAAAAGTGTGTTCCAACCTCATTCTTCCTCACGATCACGTCTCCACGCTCGTACTCGCACTCCACGACGCTTCCGCACAGCGCCGCGCGCGCGTCTCGCTTCAACTCCCGAAACAGCGCCACGCCGTCCAAAGCCTCGCTCGCGCTCTCCGGTTCGCTCACCCGGCGCGCCCTCGCGCGAATCCGCGCGTTTTCGTCCGCGTCGTCGCGTCCACCGACGCCCTTCGGCCCCGACGCCCCGTTCGCGGTGTCCATGGAGGCTCAAAATAGTTCGAGCGCGCGACCGCCGGTTCATGTCGCCGTCACTTTTTGTTACAATACTCGCGCTAACTACGACTTAATATGAGGGTGATCGTACACAGTCGAACTACTCGTACAATATGAGAGCACCACGCAGGCGCGACCGCTCGAGCGACAGCTCGCGCGAGATCGCGACGCCGACGACGACGATGTACGGCGGTGAATCGGCGACGCAGTTCGCGGGAGCGACGGGATACATGGGAGAGTGCGTTCGAGATGGATGCTTCGCGTCGCGGCGCGCGCGAGAGCGACGGGCGCGACGGAGCGCGGGCGAGATGACGGTGATTTTTGAAATATTTGAAATCCCGGCACCGAGCGAGATCACGCGCGCGACGACGCGTGAGACGGACGACGACGCGACCGAGGGACGTGAAGGAGTGAGTATCGGACTGACGGATCATCCGCGTGGGTGTTTCTCCGAGCGTAGGCCCGATGCGAGCGGGATGAAGCCGCGCGCGAGCGGCGGGAACCAGCCGAACACGATGACGCCGGTGACGGTGAAGATGATTAAAGGGGCGTTGGACGCGCGCGCGAGCCCAGACGATGAGATCAAAGTGAACGGGATGGCGATCATGAACATCACGCTCGTGGGCAAGGTGGTCGACGTCCAAACGAAGGGGTCACAGGTGGTGTACAGGTTGGACGACAGCACGGGCCAAACGGACGTCAAGGTGTGGTTAGACTCTGACGGGCCGGTCGAAGAGATTCCGAGAGGTGCGTACGTTCGAGTCTACGGAACGCCGAAGGCAGTCGGGGCCGATCAAGTGATTGCCGCGCACACGACGGAATCGATCCGCGTGATAACGGATTTCAACGAGATCACGTACCACCTCCTCGAGGTCATCTACGCGAGCGGCTACGCCGCCAAGGTCAAGTCCGGGGGCGGCGCCACCGGTGTGGCGCCACAAAGTGTGTACAGCGCCGTGCAAGCGGCGCCGAACGTTGCGGCTGATGGTGACATGAACGGTTCGCTCTGCGATCGCGTTCTCTTCATCGTCAAGAATAACCCCAACGGCGACACCGGCATCTCTGTGTTGGAGGTCGTTGAGAAGTTGGGCGGTCAGTTCACTGATGCCGCCGTTCGTCAGGAGCTCGAGAGTTTGTCGAACGATGGTGCCGTGTACACCACCGTGGACGAAGACCACTACCAAGCCGTCTAAGACTAGACGCGCGAACTGCAATGGAAACATTTTGCTTTGTTTAATACACGAGAATCACATGCCAAGACTTGCATTTCTATTCTAAATCTCCCCATGCAACGTGACGCATCGAGCTTTGGTTCGATCGCATTCCTCCCACCGTGCCGTCGCCCGAGCGAACGCTCGCTTCGTCGTCTCTGAAAGATAGCACCGAAGACGACGCCCACGTGTCGTATTGCAGCCCGGGAATATTCGTCGCGTTGCTCGATCTGTGCGCGTCGACGACAAAAGGTTCATCCAGGAGCGCCACTGCCTCTGGGCGTCTCGTTGCGTCTCGTTGCAAACACAGACGAAGAAAATCTTGACCATCGGGTGATAGGTGCTCGGGAATCACTGGAATTTCCTCGGACGACGCAATCTTGAAGATTATTTGCACCTGAGTGCTGCAGTCGCTCCAAGGCGGCGCGCCCGTGGCCATCTCGTACACGGTGCAGCCGACGCTCCAGATATCAGCCTCGAACCCAACATTTTTCTGACGAATTACCTCGGGTGCCATCCAGCACGCGCTCCCTTTGAAAGATTTCCCGTGGGAAACGTTTTCGAGCACCTTCGCCATGCCGAAATCGGCGAGTTTAATTCTACCGCTCTTCTCCACTAATATGTTTGCCCCCTTGATGTCGCGATGAAGAACACGCTGAGAGTGCAGGTACGACAACCCGATCAAAAGTTGCCGCGTGTACACACGAATGACATTCTCCTCGAACTTGCCAAATCTATGCACTAACGACGCGATGGAGCCGCCAGGGACATACTCCAAAAAGATGTACAGAGCAGCCTCTTCGCGAGTCACCCCAATGTAACGCACAATGTTGGGATGTACAAGACGCGACAACACATCCACCTCTTGCTCGAGCTGTTCGATCGACTCCTCGCGGTGCTTATCCGAGCTCCCAAATCGAACCTCCTTGAGCGCAAAGAGCTCGCCGGTGTCGCCATTGAGCGCGAGCCACACGCTTCCAAACGATCCCTCACCCAAGTTGTCCCCCTTGGTCCAGCGTCGCGGTTTTGTCGGCGCAAGCGAGGTGTGACACATGCGAAGCATACCGTCGTCTGACGTCGTGTAGCTCATATCACTCCAGTTCCCGGCGCTCGAAGCGCGCCGGTGATGCGGAGAGGATGGAACGCCGCTGTCTGAAAGTTCGGAAGAATTTCGACCCGGTCTTCGCGATTCATCCTGGACGAAGGGGTTCGATGTGGGTTCTGTGTGCGCACTGCGCGCGTTCGCTTCGCCTGCCTCTTCCGCGTGTGACTCTCGCGCCGCCGGAGCGTCATCCGCGATCTCAACCGCCGTCAACGGTGCCGACGCCGACTTGAAGTGCCGAGACTCCTTGAGCTTCGCCGCCATCTTGCTGATCGCCCCAACCGCCGCGCCCGCAGTCTTGGCCGTCGTCGTCACTGCGGCATCCGTGATGGAGTGCGACCGCCTGGTCCTCTCTTGCTGTTGAATCAAGCGCACCTTCTCTGCGTGCGTCTGAACCTCCAGTGGCACGTACCCGGAACTCGGAAGTATCTGACCTTTAATCTTCCCCACGACGCCCCCGTGCGCGCGCGGGATGTCCCCAAGCGGCGGCGGTAATGGTAACGGCGTCTCTTCAACCTCTGGATCCCCGCGCATCCCACCAAACTCATCGTTCATCTCCGCGTCTGGTCCTCGATCCCGCCCGCTCGCCGCCGCCGCCGCCGCCGCCGCGAGCACTCTCCCCGCCGGCGTCAGCCGCAATCCCGGCAATCGCGGTGCAGAAATCTCCCCATCGATCGACGCACCCTCCCCGCCACCGCCGCTCGCGTTCGTTTCCGCGCTCGTCGTCTGCGCGTCCCGTCCGCTCGCGCTCTGCGCGCTCGCGTTCCGCGCGACCTCCGCGCTCCCCCCACCCCTACCCACGATCGCTCTCCGCGCCCGCGACATCATCGCGACGAACGACGACGCACACGTCGTCTCGCTCGTCTCGCCATCCTCGTTCACCGTCGTCGCCGGGCGAAAACACGACATTCTTTCAAACGCTCGATTTCAACCACGCGCACCGTCCCCTCTCGTTCACCGTCGCCGTCGATCCTCACCGCGCGCGCGCGCGCACGAAGATCGCGCGTGGTCGTATCTATCGCCCACCGCGCGCGCGCGCGCGCGCGCGCGCGTCGTCGCGTCGCGTCACCCACGGTGGTCACGTCGCGCACTGCCGCTCGGCGCCCGCGCGTGATTATCGGACGCGTCGACGCCCCGTGTCGCGCTGACGATGGGCGCGTCGACGGCGACGCGCGTCCCGGACGTCGCGAACGCGCGCGCGCGCGAGCGCGGCGCCGCGCGAGCGCTCGCGCGGACGATGAGTCACGCGGCGCCGCTCTTGGCGTTGTTGGTCGCGATCGCGCTCGCGCTCGCCGTCGCGGGCGTCTCCACGATCCGAGGGCGCTCGAGGGACTTCTCGCGGTTCTTTTCGTCCATCGACGGCGACGGTGATGGGTCGCTGACGATGCGGGAGCTGTCGAGGTACCTGGAGGGAGGAAACGGCGAGACGGCGAGCGGACGGGACGCGCTGAAGATGTTAGACAGCGATAGCGACGAAGATGAGACGGTGTCGCCGCGGGAGTTGCGGTTGGCGGCGACGACGATGCTGAGCCCGCACGAGGTCGAGCGCTGGGTGCGACACGGAGTCGGGTTGGGGGAGTTTGCGAGGGAATTTCGAGAGCGCGGGTTGACGCTTCTCGATTTTCCGACGTTGTTGGCGAACGACGGCGCCGAGTTGGAAGAGATTGGAGTCGGGGTCGGGCGCCGAAGGGAGCGATTGATTCGAGCGATGAAACGACAGTTGCTGCGAGTGGGTCGAGCGCCGTCGATGCCGAGACGGGTGACGGCGCACGTCGAGGACGACTTTGTGCGCATCACGTGGAGACGACCGAAAGATTTGGGATCGCCCGAGACGCACGAGTACGAGGTGCAGACCGCCATGGGGGTCGGTGGTACAGTTTTAAAGTGGTCGCACGCGATTAGCGTCGATTCATCGACGTTCACGGCGCGCGTGAGCGGCTTGAGTCGGGCTCCAGGCGTGCGTCACAAATTCAGCGTCGTGGCGTGGAACGAATTCGGGCACAGTGCGGACGCGAGTTCAAATTGGGTCGCGACGGGGATCCCCGTCACCAAAAAGGCGACCGGTCAGTTGAGCGCGGTGATTAGCTTTCTCTTCGCCTTTCGCTTTGTCGTCGCGTCCAGAGGAATAATTGCGCGCTTCTGCTTTCTTCTCGTGGGACTGGTAAAGTTTGCAATTGCTCGAGCAAGGGGAGACGACGAGATCTCCGTGCGCGAGTGCGCCGCGAAGGCGAGGTCTTTCATCGTGCGAGAGCCCTCGTCTCCCGTCGCCACGAATATTATCACGGATCGGAAGTTGTTCACGCCCACAAAGGTGCTCACACACGAACGACAGAGTAGCGTGAGCGAGAGCGGGGACCTGTCGAGTTTGCATCGAACGCAATCGATGAGCTCACTCAAGGAACAGGCGCGCGCCAACCTAAACGAGGCGGAGTTTAGCACCGGTGCGGGTGGATCCGATGGATTCTCGCCTGTGCATCAGAGCTTACTGACGCAGCACTCGTTTGCAAAGCAAATGCGCGTGGTTGATCACGACCGCGAAGAATCTTTGCGACAACGCGCGTCGCGCCCGCTGTCGATCCACAAGTGCAACGAGGATGGGTGTAAAGTGAGTTGGAAGCAGTCAGCTAGAATCGTGCGGCATTTTTGCGGATTGTGCCAGGCTTGGTACTGCGAAGGCCACACGCAAGTATCTCCGCACGGCAAGCGCGGCACGTGTAAGCCGGAATCCCAGTGCGTCTGTCAATACTGCTATAATGACCTGTCGTTAGAGCAGCAAAAGGAATTGGACGAAGACAACGCGTACTCTTTGAACGGAGCTCAGAAAGTGAAGCGCTCACCGCTCGCGAAATTGACGGCGAAAATCCGTCGGTCCCGCGTGAAGGCAAAAGAGAGAGCCGGCGACAATGTGCTGCTGCAACACGCGCTCGACGCCGACGCCGCACTTCCGACGAAAACGATTCGATAATTGTGTCGATGTAGACCGAGTAATAAATAATATATTATAGTTCGTATTGATTGTTTCGATAATCGTTAAAACGCGATCACGGCGTCGCTCGCTACCGAAATTCTAGTCGTTGTGGGCGCGCGGAAGAAACTACTCTTCGCTCGCCCAGCTAATGTGCCTTTGTTACCCTACGCGTCGAGCAACTCGTCGTCCTCATCCGGCAACGGCTGCGCCGCGGCGTCCGCGAGCTCCTTCTCGTACGCCGCCACCTCCGCCAAATCGACGGTGACGGTCGGCGGCGCGAGCGCCGGGGATTCGGTAAATTGAAGCTGCGGGTTACCGCTTAACTTGCGCGCGAGGTACAAGAACGGCTTTTCAAAGTTGTAGTTTGACTTGGCCGACAACTCGTAGTACTGCAAGTTCTTCTTCCGGTGGAACGTGATCGACTTAGCGCGCACCTGGCGGTTGCGCACGTCGACCTTATTCCCGCACAACACGATCGGAATGTCTTCGCACACGCGCGTGATGTCGCGGTGCCACGTCGGCACATTCTTATACGTCGTCCGCGACGTCACGTCGAACATGATGATCGCGCACTGTCCGTGAATGTAGTACCCATCACGCAAGCCACCAAACTTTTCCTGTCCCGCCGTATCCCAGCAGTCGAAGCGAATGGGACCGCAGTTCGTGTGGAAGTCCAACGGGTGCACGCTCACGCCCACCGTGGGCAAATATTTCTTCTCAAACTCTCCAGTCAAGTGACGCTTCACGAACGTCGTCTTCCCTGCGATCACTCGCGCGTCGCGCCCCACGTCGTCAGTCCTCTCCAGCGTCACCGTCGATCCGCGCGCGTCCACCCGCACGCGCCCCACCGCCCGTCTCTCGGTCGCCGCGGACGATTCATTCATTCGTTTGAGATCCGCCCCGTCGCCGATCCCCATCGCCCGTCCCTACGATCGCGCGCGCCGTGCGTCGCGCGCACCGGTGCCACCGTCACCGACGAGGATGAGCTTAAACGTCGGCGTGTTGCTCGGCGGTGCGCTCATCGTGCGCGCGCGCGCGGAGGTGTCGCGCGCGCGTCGACGCGGGCGAGGGTCGGCGTGGATGCGTCGCCCCGCGCGGGGGCGGCGGGGCTCATATAATGGACACGCGCGCGCCATCACGCGTGCGCACGCGCGTTGGGTCGAGCATACATGGGCGTGTGTGAGTTTATGTACGAAGAGCCCGTCGCGCGTGCCGTGGAGAGAGCACACATGGGCGTGTGTGAGTTGATGTACGAAGGGCCCGTCGCGCGTGCCGTGGATAGAGCATACATGGGCGTGTGTGAAGTAATGTATGAAGGGCCCACGCGTGCGCCGTGGATAGATCCGAGACGCCCCGCGCGTCGCGCGCCATCGTCGCGCGCGAACGCGGCGTCGAACGCGCTCGAACGCGCGCGTGGTCCAGGACGCTCGGCGCGATGTCGCGCGAAGTCCCGGGCGCGCGCGCGTGCGAACGCGGCGCGTGGCGGCTGGACGCGGGACGACGGATGCGCGGACGCGCGCGGCGGGACGGGACGCGAGGACGGACGACGCGCGTCGACGCGCGCGCGCGGGAGGACGTGCGGGCGCGGATCGAGGCGCTGCGAGCGGAGAATGAGGCGCTGCGGGCGGAGGTGATGGGGAAGCGATCGCTCGGGGGGGGGGGAGAGGCGATCGAGGGGACGACGGAGGCGACGGCGAATCCAGCGGTGGCGGCGGTCGAGGCGAAGGACGAGGCGGACGTCGAGGTGACGGAGCGGGCGAACGCGTACGTGGGTGATCTTCCGATTGCGTACGAGGGTGAATCGGAATACGGCGCGAAGGCGAAGGCGGCGGCGACGGAGATGGCGATGGAGACGACGGAGACGACGGAGACGCGAGAACGTCGCGAGCCGGACACCGCCATGTTCGCGGAGGAGGTTCCGGAGCGTCCGACGCCGGTGCCGGTGACGAGCGAGCGAGCGTCCGTGGAGAAGACGGAGAAGCCGATGAACATCGTGTTCGTCTCGAGCGAAGTCGCGCCGTGGTCGAAGACTGGGGGATTGGGCGACGTGTGCGGAGCGCTGCCGCAAGCGCTCGTCGCGCGCGGACATCGCGTCATGGTGATCTCGCCAAAGTATCAAAACGGATCCAAGGCGGACGCCCTGTACAACGGCGCGTTAGATACGTGCACGCGAGCAAAGATTGGGTGTTTCGGCGCCGAGCATGAGGTGGGATTCTTTCATCAAATTAAAAACGGAGTGGATTACGTCTTCGTCGATCACGCATCCTTCCATCGCAAGGGGAGCTTGTACGGAGATTCTTTCGGGGTATACGGAGACAACCAATTCAGATTTACGCTTTTAGCGCACGCAGCGTGCGAAGCACCCCTGCAGTTGGCGTTTGAAGGTTGCGGCGATCGATACGGCAAGGATATCGTCTTCGTCGCCAACGACTGGCACGCCGGTTTAGTCCCCACTTTGGTCGCATCAAAGTACCGTCCTCACGGTGTTTACAGGGACGCGCGCACAATTTGCGCAATTCACAATATTTTTCACCAAGGCGTCGAGCCATCGACGACGTTCCCGTGCCTCGGCGTACCGACCGAGTGGTACGGCGCGCTCGAGTATCAGTACCCGCATCACATGCGAGCGCACGAACTCGACGAGGGTAGAGTGGTGAACATCTTAAAGGGGGCGATTGCGACCTCGGATCGCGTGCTCACCGTCTCCCAAGGCTACGCTTACGAGATCACGACCCCAGAGGGAGGCAAGGGCATGGAAGGGTTGCTCCTCAGCAGGGCGAACAAACTCGACGGCATCGCGAACGGGATAGACATGGACGAGTGGAACCCGGAGGCCGATCCGGACTGCGCCGCTCCTTATTCCGTGATAGATCTCGCCGGGAAGCTCGAGTGCAAGCGCGCACTTCAAAAGGAACTTGGGCTGCCCGAGCGAGACGACGTCCCACTCATGGGCTTCATCGGGCGTTTGGATTGGCAAAAGGGGCCGGATCTGCTCCAGCAAGCGCTCCACGACATGATGCGCGAGGACATCCAGGTGGTGATGCTTGGAAGCGGCTTGCCCGAGCTCGAGGATTTCATGCGATGGGCCGAGGGTGAGTACAAGGACAAGTTCCGCGGATGGGTCGGCTTTTCCGTCCCGATGGCGCACCGCATCACGGCGGGTTGTGACCTCTTGCTCATGCCGTCGCGATTCGAGCCTTGCGGTCTGAACCAACTGTACGCGATGCGTTATGGCACTTTGCCCATCGCGCACGCCACCGGAGGACTGAAGGATACGATCACTCCGCACAACGCGTTCGGAGACGCCGACAAGGTTCTCGCCGGCACGGCGGACGTCAATCAGGGCGAAGGCGTCGGCACCGGTTGGCTGTTTAACGACATGAACGCCGACGCGCTGATGTGGGCGATCCGATCGGCGTGCGACGTTTATCGATCCGACAAGAAGTTCTGGCGCGCAATGCAGACGCAGGCGATGACGCAAGACTTGTCTTGGAACAACGCGGCGCGAAAGTGGGAGCAGGTCTTCGAGTGGGCCAAGATGGATCCTCCGCACTGCGGCTAAGCTAGGTTGAGATGAACAACACTCTTCTAATTAAATATGCAATACTTCGCGCAACACAAATAATGTCGTCCTTCTCCTCACAACGCGCTGCGCAAATTTGTTTTGTCCACGACAAACCGTCCGTCTCGCAGCGCCTTGACGTCCCAAACCGACACCCCGTCCTCCGTGCATACCGAAAATTCCGGCTCGCGACCGTACCTACGGCGGGCGACTTCGATCAAGATCATCGCCGTGAGCCCCCAGATCGTGAGCACCTCCGCACCGCCACCTCGGTCGTAATCAAAGTAGTGCACCCGAATCGGCCGCGTCGCATTCGGCCACGCGAAATCGTCGTGCCTATGATTTCGCGCCTCCAAGAACATCTCCAACGGCGCCGTGAACACCTCCGCCACCTCACTTCGCGATATCTTTTCCTCTCGCACCTCAAAATCCTCCCTCAACACCCCCACGATCGGCCGCACGCTCGTCGCGAACCTCGACAAAATCACCGGTAACCGTCCGAGCACCTCCACATCCTCCTCCTCGATCCCAACCTCCTCCCGCGCCTCTCGCAGCGCCGTCGCGACGTCATCGGCGTCATCTTCGTCCCGTTTCCCTCCCGGAAAGCTCACCTCGCCCCCGTGCGCGCGCATCGTCGTCGGTCGCACCTCCAACAGCACCTCCGTCCCACCACCGCGCTCCATCAACGGCACGAGCACCGCGGGCGCGCGCGCGCCCCGACGCGCGCGTGCGCCCGCGCGGTCCACGGCGGCGTCCACGCGCGCGCCGTCCACGCGCGCGCCGAGCGCGGCGCGGACGCCCGCGTCGACGGCCATGAGTCGTCGACGGCGCCGAGGTCTGGCGGTCGGTCACGTATTCAGTCACGTATTCCCCCATGTATACCCGTGACGCCCTACAGCGCGACGGTCACACGCGCGCCACGCGCGTTCACGGGCGATGGCCTGTCTTCTGTATGGTATGCATACACGTATACTGTCACACATGTCACCGTGTAGCACCCGCGACGGTCACACGGCGCCACGCGCGTTCACGGGCGATGGATCGTCTTCTGTATGGTATGCATACACGTATACTGTCACAAATGTCGGTATGTATCGCCGAAGCGAGGACACCGCCACTCCAGCCTGGAGCGCGCGCGCGTCGACAACGCGCGACGCCGACGTCGACGCGACGCGCGCGCGCGAACGCACGCGCGCGGTCGTTCGCGCACGCGCGCGCGCGGGCGTCCGTGAACGCGCGCGCGGACCACGGCGCGCGCGCGAGGTGAAAGATTCATTCGCATTCGTATCTCGGCCCGAACCGACCGGGAGACGGCGCGCGCGAGGTCATGGGACGCGCGCGGGCGACGCGGGCGTCGACGCGTTGGATGAATATGGCGCACGCGCGGGCGCGGGTGAACGGCCGCGGGTGGTGGGATGGGTGCGCGAAGCGAACGCGAACGCGCGGGTCCGGGACGGCGCGTCCGGCGCGCGCGACGAGCGACGCGACGGACGCGCGGAGTCGAGCCGAGGATGCGTTGCGCGCGTCGGTGGAGACGCAGTTGGATGGGACGGATCATCCGCGGGTGTTCACGGTGCCGGCGACGCCGGTGGCGGGGGGGGCGCTGCGGGTGTTCGCGGACGTCGAGCGCGCGGACGCGCTTCGATCGGCGAGCGGGTGGAAACTCATCGGTGGATACAACGCGTGGCGGGTGGGCGAGTTCACGAAAGACATGATCAAGGTGAAGGGGACGTCGTGGGTGTACGCCGATGTGAACGTGGACGAGCGCGCGTTCTCGATGGATTTCGTGTTCAAGGGAGACGGCGAGGCGTACGAGAAGGACGAAGGACAAGACTTCTCGTTGACTGTCGACTTCGGACCGACGCCCGAGGAGTTCGAGGAAATGTTAAAGGTGATTGAGATGGAGAACAAGGCGCGCGATGAGGCGAACGCGTTCATCGACGGGCAGATGGCGCGCGCTCGGGAGAGCGGCGCCGGCGCATCCATCGAAAAGTACGGACGCGTCATCTGTAAGACGGCGAGCGGGAAGCCGGGCGTTGCCGGGAGCACGGAGCGAGTGATGTGGAATAAGGCGTATAATCCAATCGGCGGCGACACCGACAAGCTCGTCTTGCACGTGGGTTTCAACGGCTGGTGCGCGGGCGTTGAGGCCAAGTTCGATCTCGTTCGCGCGACGGGAGAGATCAAAGACGAGAACAACGACTGGTGGGTCGCCGACGTCCCGCTGCGAGCGGACGCGTATTTGCTCGACTTTGTCGTCTCCGACGTCGAAGAGTCGGCCTGGGATAACAACGAACAGGCGAACTTCACGCTCGCAGTGGAGACGAGCGATGAAGAGTGGGCCGTGCTTCGCGAGCTCAAATTTGAGGAGATTCGCGCCATGGCGTTCAAGAAAGAGTTAGCGGAGAAAGAGCGAAAAGAACGTCGCGCCAAGGCGGACGCCGAGGCGAAGGCGAAGGCGATCGAGGTTGGCTTGAAGCAACAGTCGTACATCATTCATACCGAACCGAAAGTTCCGCAAGTTGGCAAACCGCTCAAGGTGTTCTACAACAAGAACAACACCAACCTGAGCTGGAGCGACGAAATTTATATGACCGGTGGTTTCAATCGGTGGTCGCACGAAGCAGCGATCGAGCCAGTGAAGATGACGCCGCCGGGTGCCGGTGAAGAGTTTTTCACCGTCACTGTGCCGCGCGTGCCCACGGATGCGTGGATGGTTGATTTCGTCTTCAGCAGCGGCGTCGGCGAAGGTGCGCAGTACGACAACAAGTCTGGGCGCGACTATCATCTCCCCACTCGAGGGAGCACCGCGAGCAAGCCGCCTCTTCACGTCTGTCACATCGCCGTCGAGATGGCGCCGATTGCAAAGGTTGGAGGATTGGCAGACGTCGTCACCGCCATCGGTCGCGCTATTCAAGATAACGGACACCTCGTGGAGATCATTCTACCAAAGTATCAATTTTTCAACAACTCAGTCTTGCTCGGTGGGAAAGAGTACGAGACGCACTTCGATTGGGCGGGGACGACGATTCGCGTTGAAAAGTGCAAAGTCGAGGGACTGCAGTGCTTCTTCATTGAGCCTCAAAACAACATGTTCCAGACCGATTCGGTTTACGGACGGAACGATGACGCACACCGATTCAATTTCTTCTGCAACGCTGCGCTCGAATTTCTCGTTCGAACCGCGCGTCAACCAGACATTCTTCATTGCCACGACTGGAGCTCTGCCGAAGTCGCTCGGGCGTATTGGGAGCACTATCATCACAACGGTTTGACGAAACCGAAGGTCGCGTTCACCATTCATAACATGAACTACGGTCAGGCCAAGCTCGGTGAAGCCGTTCATCATTCGCAGGTGGCGACGACTGTGTCGCCCTCGTACGCGGGCGAAGTGCGAGGGAGTCCCGTCATCGGCAACAACGGTCACAAGTTCACAGGCGTTCGTAACGGTATTGATCCAGAGATTTGGGATCCCGAGACGGACATATTTGTCCCCGTGAAGTATAACGCCGACAATCAAGAGGAGGGCAAGGCGGCCGCCAGAGCAGAGCTCCGTCAACGCGCGGGCATGACTGGATGGGACGATAAACCGATTGTCGGCGTTGTCTCTCGTCTCACCGCGCAGAAGGGCGTCCACCTGATCAAACACGCCGCGCACCACACCTTGAGCCGAGGTGGCCAGTTTGTGTTGCTCGGGAGCGCCCCGGACCCGAAGATTCAGGGTGAATTCAACGGTCTAGCGAACCAGCTCGGTGGCGAAGACACCGGTTTCTTCTTCGCATTTGATGAGCCGCTGTCGCACCTGATGTACGCCGGATGCGACGTCATACTGGTGCCGTCCATGTTCGAACCGTGCGGTTTGACGCAGATGATCTCCATGCGCTACGGCGCCGTGCCGGTCGTTCGCGCCACGGGCGGTTTGCGTGACACGGTGTTCGATGTCGATAACGAAAAGGAACGCGCCGCGTGGGAGGTTGGTGGCTCCACCGACTGGAAGACCGACGGTGACATGACCAACGGCTTCAGCTTCGAGGGAACTGACGAGGGATCCCTCAACTACGCCCTCGACAGATGCCTCGACGCCTTTTACAACGACCGCGAGTGGTTCCGGTCTCTTCAAAAACGCGTCATGCTTCAGGATTGGTCGTGGAACCGACCAGCGAACGACTACGAGGAGCTGTACTACAAGATGATCGGTCGGTAAGATCTTAGCGGCGTAGATTTGTTGAACAAAAATGCCGCAGCAGCGAACAAACTTGCGCCTCTACGTCCCCTTTCCCATTGAAACATCCTCCATCCTATCCGCATCCGTCCAGAACGCCTCCCTCTTGATTCCCTCCGTGTCCACACTCTCCACCGCGTCATGCGCGAACTCGCCGCTCGCGACGGCGCTTTCGCCGCCCATAGACGTGTGACATCATCGCCATCATCCTCGCACGCTCGCCGAGCGCGTCGCAGGACGTTGATCGTCCGCGCGGACGTCCAGAGAAGCTGGCAGAGCAAAAAATCTCTAAAGATGCCCCTGCGGGACGAACACGCGGAGCACACGTTCGAGTCGTACATCCAAGACGGGGAGCGAGTGATGGGAGTGACTTTTCCCGACGGACGACGACGCGAGAAGTTGGACGGGGAGACGTGGCGCGTACGGTTGATGCCGTTTGATTTCTTGGGCGCGCGGGTCACGGTGTATTGCACGCTGACGCTGACCAAGACAGAGGAGGGGTTGACGATCGGCGCGAAGGAGCTCGAATTCGTCGGGTTACCGCGCGAGATGGATTTAGATGGGAAAGTGCGGCTGACGATGGAGGGGGCGCTGCGGCCGCCCAGGGGGGACGGGAACGTGAACGGAGACGTGACGCTGACGCTGGACGCGGCGGTGAACGACTTTGTGGCGATGAATCCGGCGTTAGATTTTGTGGTGAACGGAATCAACGACACGGTGTTGGCGAATTTACAGGGTTCGATTGAGAAGAGTTTGCTCGCGGATTACGGGCGATGGTGGCGACAGTGCGAGCGTCTGGAGGCGCGAAGGAGCGCCAAGGCGGCGGCGGCAAACTAAGATGTTGAGTCCGTACGAGTGTGCTCATCGCGTTTGCGGTCGGTGAGAGCGCACTCAAACGGAGCGTACCGGTAGCATTTAATTTGTGAATGGTTCCCTTTGCTTTATCTCTACTGAATTTACACCGGGAGAGTTTCGATCGCGCTCTGCACCGCGTCTCTTTTTGCCATCCTGAATATGACGGAACAGCTAAAGTAATCCGGATCTACGCCAGACAAGCGCGGAATGCTGTGCTGCACGTCCTCTTTCGCGAAACCATCCATCGACGTCACTGAGCCGACCGACTGCATCACGTCGATCATCCCCCGATCCACGTTTATGCGCATGTGTCCATCCGGCGCAAAGGACAGAATGCGAGGATTGAAAAGGCGAACGCCATATATCGGTCCCTCGAAGAGGTGCAAGGCATCCTTGTGCGCCATTAAATAAGCGCCCGCACGGCCGTATATGTTGAGTACGTACTGATTCGGAACAAAGTCTGGCGCAAAGACTCCTCGTTTCTGGAGCGTTTCGGCGAGCTTGTGAAGTGGCGCGGCGAGCGGGTCATCAATGCCCGGCACGTTCTTTATCAAGCGCTGCGGCTTATTTCTTGAATCGCTCCTTTTTTCGTACGCGAAACCGAAAAAAAGTTTGATTCTGGACGTAGTTCCCGCCTTGGTGACGAACGGGTCACCACCGAGGTCGCCTTGAAGCGCCTTGCGCGTGAGCTCTAAAATTCCTCGCTCGGCTTCATGGATTTCGTCGTCTGTTAAGGCGCCTTCCATGACGTTGACGCCGAAGGGTATTATATCACCATCCGTCGGGCGACCGTTCGCGTGTACGTACTCGTACGTATTTAACCAACCCTTCGTCAACACTTTTTCTGCCTTGACGGTTCCGCCGCGGTGCTTCCACTGCATTCGCAGCTGGGTGTAATCCGTGATCGCTTGTTGCATTTCTGTGTCCATCAAAGCGCTCTCGCTCACCCATTCAGACTCAACTTGGCATTCTGATCGTCCACAACACGTCGTCACTTGACACAAAAATTCATTTCCTTGGCCAGGTTGTTGTCGCCTGCCCACGACGCGCACCGTCCGAATAGATTTCGTACTCGGTTTCCCGTCGATTTGCATCGCTCTCGGCTGGCCACACGGCGACGCGCGAGATTTCGGGTCTCTCCAATACTTAATCGGCGTCGAATCGCACGCGAGACACACGAAAGGTTCGTCTGGGTTCCGCTTCAGCGCCTCGTGCTTCTCCGCGCCGAGAATCGGCGCGCACTGCACGCACAGCACATTCACCGAGCACGCGTCGCACAGATACGCCACGCGCTCTTCACCGCCTTGTCCACAGAGTTGACACTGTAAAAACTGACCCGTCGCCTCGTCCCTCCCCCAACTCCCGGTGCTCAAGAATGTGTGACACGGCGCGCACACGTCCAAGCACTCGCCCAGCGCGCGCGTGGGATGCGGCGCGAGCGCCGCGTACTTCTCACACCCCCCCAGCGACGCCGCGCACGCGCACCACCCACACCGCACCCGCGCTTTCGTGGACGTTCGAGACGATTTCAACGCACCCCCCGTCGTTCGTCCCCGCGGCCGTCCGCGCGCCCGCGTCCCGCGCCGCCGTCCCGCGCCGCCGCGTCCGTGTCTCCAATCCCTCTCCACCCGTCCCTCCCGCCCCTCTTCCTCGCCGTCGTCGTAAAAGTAATAATACTCGCCATCGAATCGATCGAACAGCACGTCATCCGCGTCGTCTCGCGAGCGATGCAGGGCGTACCGCGTACCGCGCGTCCCATCCGAATCCCCTGTCGTCGTCGTCGACCCCACGCGCGCGTCCACCGTCCACGCCCTCGCGCGCGCGTCCACCGTGGACGACATCGCGCGCGCGGACCCCCGACGCGCGCGCGCGCGCCGCGCACCGGCGTCGCGGACGCGTTCTCGCGCGGTGGTGATGAAGCGCATTCACGCGAGACCGCGTCGCGGGTCGCGCGTCGACGATGTCCGCGACGTCCGCGACGCGCGACGCCGTGGTCCTGTGCGCCGCCGCCGTGGACGCCGACGTCGTCGCCGTGGACGCGCGCACGGGGGCGCACGTGCGCGCGATGGGCGTGCCCAAGGGATTCGCCGCCGGCGGCGTCGCCGCGGTCGGGGCGAACGAACTCGCGGTGCTCGCGCCGGGAAAGCGCGCGATCGCGCGATACGGGCGCGGACGCACGTCGGTGACGTCGACGACGACGACGGGCGAACGACCGAGCGCGATCGCGGGGACGACGTGTGGACGGCTCATGGCGAGCGGGACGGCGAGCGGGACGGCGAGCGCGTGGGAGGCGTCGAGTGGACGGTTGCTCGCGCGGTGGCGCGCGCACTTTAAGGGGGTGAGCGCGATGACGTTTACGCCGTGTGGAAGCGTGCTGATCACGGGTGGAGAGGATGGGGCGGTGCACGCGTGGCGGGTGAGCGAACTGACGGAGGACGGCGGCGGCGGGGGGGGGGTACGCGCGTGGCGGAGTTGGACCGATCACGCGCTCGCGGTGAGCGACGTGACGTGCGGGAGGATGAGTGGATGTGGTGGTGACGTCACGGTGGTGTCGTGCAGCGCGGATCGGACGTGTAAGATTTATGGGTTAGGGAGCGGGGCGACGCTTCGGCAGGTGCGATGTCCGACGGCGCTGACGTCGTGCGCCCTGGACGCGTGCGAGGCGACTTTATACGCCGGTGGAGCCGATGGACGAGTTTTTGAGATCCCATTGAACGGAGCGCCGTCGATGGCGGTGAGCCTGGACGGCGGTCTGGACGCTCGCGATGGGATGATTGCCCTGGAGGGACACTCCAAGCGCGTCGTCGGCGTCGCGTGCTCCACTGATGGCGACTTCGTCGTGAGTGCGAGCGAAGACGGCACCGCCCGCGTGTGGGACTGCGCGTCTCGTCAGACGTTACACATCTTGCGTCATCCAAAGCCACCAATATGCGATGTACTGCTCGTTCCTCTGTCCGCGTACGCGGAATCCAGTCGAGGCGACGCGGGCTCGTCTCGAAAACGAGCAAAGACGACGCCAGCTCCGACGCTGAGCAAGATTCTGATCGGTACGGGCGATCGAAGCGGATTGAAACCGTGGCAGGGCGCACCCGTGGCGCTCGCGGGCGCTCGTGAGTCGTCTCGACCACGCGCCGCAGCCGCCGCTCGAACCGCCGCCGCTCGAGCTGTCCCAGCGGACGCCGAATCAGAAATCGCGCGTCTCAAATCCGATCTCGCCGCTCGCTCCGACGACGTCTCCACCGCACGAAACGACGCAGAGAAGTGGAAAAAGCTCTACAACGATCTCAAATCCATCGTCGACGCGCAGCTCGTCGATAATTAATGGTAGTATTGTAACTTTACGTTCCACGTGTGCCTTTGCCACACGAACGCAACGCGTCGCTGTCCACACACCGCGACGCAGCGCGTCGTCTGTTTTTACCGCGTTTACACGAAGAAGGTGGTTATTCTCGCGGGTTACGCGCTCCGAACGACCGCGAGTATCGATACGGAGCGCGAACGCGAACGAAATCGGCGCCGCCGCCGCCATGAAGTCGAAAAGCAAAAAATCTCCAAAACCGACGCCCTCGCGCTCCGGCGACGCTGATGAGGTGGATTGGACGACCAGGGACGATGTGTGGAAGACGGTTGACGTGAATGCGTCGACGTTGATTATGGGCGGGGCGGAGGAAGGGTTCATGGAATTGGAGGTGTTGGACGCGGACGTCGCGCGGGCGTACGGAGCGGCGGCGACGGGAACGGGTGCGTCGATCGAGAGAGCGGACGGTGCGGAGGCGAGAGCGTCGAGCGGAGTAAAGGCGAATAGGAGCGGACGCGATCGGGAGGAGAAGCGAGGAAAAAAGAGGGATGGGAAGAAGAAGGCGGGCGACGACGACGCGCGGACGAAGTTTGGCGCGCTGGACGAGAGCGCCTTGGAGGGATTGAGCGGCAAGGAGGCGAGGATCATGAAGCGTAAGCTTCGTTGGAAAGCGAAGATTGAGGCGAAGAAGCTGGCGAAGAAGAACGGAACTACGACGCCGAAGACACCTGTGATCAAGGTTAAGGCGGTGGAGACTTCAGAACCAGCCGCCGGGACAGTGCCGTCGATCAAGAGGAAGGAGAAACAAAAGGACAGGGTCTCCAAGGATGCAAAGAGTGCAAAGCAAGAGGTGACGGTGAAGCCCGACGAGGAGTTTATCGAGAGCTCGGAGATGGACGTGGAGGAGGACTGGGAGAAAATCACGCACAAATCCGTTAAAGCGGAGGCGCTGGCGAAGTCAAACGATAAGAATGCGACGTCTAGCATGGGCGCCTTAGTCGACGGCGTCGACTTGGATCGCGGATGCGACATCAGCGCTTGGTTTGAGTTTGATCTCCACCCTCTAATCTTGCGAGCGATACAAGATTGCGGTTTCACCTCACCGACGCCGATTCAGCGAGAGTGCTTGCATCCGGCAACAAAGGGTCGATACGACATTATTGGCGCCGCGCAGACGGGAAGCGGGAAGACTTTGGCGTTCGCGCTTCCAATTTTACACAGACTCTTGTCAGAGGGCATCGGCTTACCGGAAGACTACCCGCTCAAGGATGGAAAGGAGAGAGAGGTCTTGCCGGATGTCTTGCGCGCGCTCATCGTGTGTCCGACACGCGAGTTAGCTCTTCAAGTATGCGCTATGATGCGCGCCGTAGCGGTGTACACCAAGATAGATGTGTGCCCCGTTGTCGGTGGTATGTCGAAAGAGAAGCAAGAGCGACTTTTAAACCGAATGCCAGCGATAATCGTCGCCACTCCAGGTCGTTTATGGGACACGATGCAGAGCGGGCACGCTGCCGTGACAGAATTTGGCGCACTTTCGTTTTTCGTTCTCGACGAGGCCGATCGCATGATCCAGCGCGGTCACTTCAAGGAACTCACGAGTATTATTCAAAACATTCCCGAGCCACCGCGTGTGAAGCGAGCGGGCGGTGCAGCGAAGTCCAAGGAAGAGAGCGACGCTCCGGTTGATAATTTTGCGGAGGACGAAGACGATGTGAACAGAGCCAAAGCTTTGGCTCTCCGACCGAAGCAGATGCTCGACAGGCAAACGTTCGTGTTTAGTGCTACACTCACCGTCCCGGACTCGGTTCGCCGGAAGCTTAAAAAGGGCAAGGCGCCGACGTCTGCGAAACCGAGGAAGGGCAGTGCACAGCCACAGAGCGGTTCTCTCGAATCTTTGATGGAAGCAGTACCGTTCTACGGACGAGTGAAAATGGTCGATCTGACGCCAATTGAGAGGAAAGGAGGTGCCGTTGCGTCCTCTATCGCGGAAAGTGCTTTGGAGTGCACGGAGGACGATCGGGACTCAATGCTGTACTACCTTCTCTCAGCGCATCCGGGGATGACAATAGTCTTCGTCAACGCCATCTCGTGCTTACGTCGCGTCGTGGCGCTGCTGAAAATTCTCAGAGTGCCTGTGGAAGGATTACACGCTGGGATGCAGCAGCGCGCGCGTTTGAAGGCGCTTGATCGATTCAAAGCGGCGGCGGCGAAGACGACGGCGAGCGGCGGTCGAGCGGCGCACTCGGTGCTAGTAGCCACCGACGTCGCGGCGAGAGGCTTGGACGTCAAGGGCGTCGAGCTCGTCATTCACTACCAGATTCCGCTGAGTGCCGACACGTATATCCACCGAAGTGGACGCACCGGTCGCGCCGATAAGCAAGGCGCCGCGGTGTCGCTCGTCACGCCAAAGGAGCGTCAGCAGTACTACGCGCTACTGAAATCTCTCAACCGCGACGGCCCGCTCGATCCGTTCCCGATCGCCGAGGAGACCTTGATCGAGGCCAGTCGACGACTCGCGGTGACAAAAAAGATCGACAAACTCAGCCACACGAAGCAAAAGAAAAAGGCTGACAAGGAGTGGCGAAAATCTAACGCCGAGGAGCTCGGAATCATCCTGAGCGAATCCGAATCCGACGAAGAGCTCCAGGAGTATCACGAGGACCGAAGCGCCGCACGAAACGACGACGTCCGGGAGCGCTCGCTCAGAAATGAGCTCGACGCCATGCTCTCCAAACCCCTCGGCGCGCACAGGCACTCACTCATCGGGAGCGCGAAGTTCCCTTCCCGAGGCGGCGGCGACGCGCTCGCGCGGGCCAAGCGCGCGAGAGACGCGCACGAGTCCCGCGTGTCCGCCGTGGACATGTTACGCCCTAAGCCGGGCGTGAATTCCGTCGCAAACGTTCCCGCCGCCATCGTGGGCGCCGTTGCGGGCGGCGTTCGCGGCAAACGAAGGAAAAAGTAGGCGTCATTCAAACAAACGCTCGTCCAGACGCCCAACTGCCCCCCCTCGATGCGCACGGCCAGACAGTTTACCCACAGAGAGACCAATCGCCGTTCTCCCCGGTCGTTCCCCGAGCCGCGCGACGACGACACATCCGCGCGCGCACCGCGACTGGGCGCCCGCGAACGCGCGAAAACGTCGAACGCGCGCGCGTTGATCGCACCGCGCGCGCGTCGCCCGTCGAAACGCGCGTGCGCGACGGCATGCGCGCGCATCGTGAACTCGGCGCGGTGAGACGCATTGAATATTCCGTCTCAGGAGACGTGAAAAAATGCGCGTGGAGCGCGACGAAGGACGCGACCGCGGTGGATGGTTTCCTGAAGATCAACCATGGGCTCTACGCCGAGATTCCGCTCTTCGCGCGCGCGGCGTTGGCGCTGACGAACGGATTTTATTGGTATTTGGCGTGGAAAGTGCTGCGCTCGTCGGGTGCGCAAGATGCGAAGCGAAACCGCGACGCGCCTTCGAACGTGTGATCGTGTTGCGCGCGAGCGAGACTGAATGACTGACGACGAGACGTGAAACTTGAGATGTACGTTAGGGATATTTGATGATTCTTACTGCGTGCACGATTTGTGTCGTTCGCACGCATTTCATGTTTTTCTCGTGTTGTGTATCGCTACTGCGTCTACGGTGTACCACTTTTACCAGCTAGGTCTAGACCATGAGATTTTGAGGGCATCACGCGCTGCGTGCGATTGCTTTAAATTTCGTGGATTCGCCCTACCCGGTGCGACGTCGAAGGTCTCTCCGCTCGAGGTGAAATCGTTGCAACACGTTTCAACCGGGCGCGTCGGTTTCGACCGGGTGCGCTCGGACTCCGCGCGAGATCTCTCCGCAAGTGCGATGTGTTCGCCGTCGATGACGAAATCGTCAGTCACGAAAATGTCGTTATATAATTATCCTGGTGAGTTGGTGAGATGGCTGTGCGCGATGGACGTAGGATGCGCAGTCGTCTACGGCGTATTTTGCGCGACGTGCTACGGCGCCGAAAAGGTTCTCAGCGCCGGTCGGTGGCCGCTCGTCTTCTTGTTCACCGCCATGGCGTGTCAGCGCGCCGAAAAATACTGGGGCTACGTCGTTTTACACTCGATATGGCACGCCATGAGCGCCGCTCTCATGCTCGAATTCTTGCTCGCGCAGTAGCGCGAATATTCCTTTTTGAACTTGCTGGCGCATCTGTCACGTCGTCGCAACTTCGCCTGTACGCACTACACCCAATGTTTATACTAACCTCCGTGTAAAAAGTGATGCACCGGTTCATGACTCGTGAATTCGTGGAGGGGTCTTTTTTTTCGCGTTTTTTTGTTGAGTTACAACTCAGGGCAAATCGAGGGGGTCGCAACTTTTGCAACATAAATTTATCGTGGGAGAGAAGAAGGGAGTGAGGCATGCAGACCTTCGTAGTCCAAAGTGCGCGCCACCGGATCGTTTGCGTCGTCCAAATCCAAGGAAAGATCGACAGAAATGGGTTCCTCGTGCTTGATGCCGTGCGGTAGCTTGTAATCGTTCGTCCCGTTGGCGTCGAGGATGCATTTAGTGACTGCAGTTTTGACATCCCAGCATCTCTGAAGTCTCTCGCGGTCATGATATTCATGGTATTGCTCCACCATGAGGTTCCAAAACTCGTCCTTATTGGCAGCGCTGTGTTCGATCTGACGTTCGTGCTCTTGAACGTACTTTGATAGCGACCTAAAGAAGCAGAGATCGTTCAAGTTGGTGTCCGGCGAGTTGGCCGGTTGTAACACAAATTTGATCATTGGCATTTGCTTCCCATCGATGCGCTTCCGTTCCTTTCCAGCAGCGTTTAAAGCGTCCATGCACTTCACATGAGGCCGTGCGCCATCCATCTGTACAAAGACTATGTCAAAGTCTGCCATTTTCCTATAGATGTCCGGGATCAACTTCTCGGTGACTAACTCGTAGAAGATGTCTGCGTCAACATCACAGTCTTCATCATACACGTCTCCTCGTTTGTGAAACTTGCTGTTTCGCTGCGCAACCTTTTTTTTTGCGCAGCGATACATTCCTATTCGTCCGTCGAAGTCGCCGCACGGTCGCGCAACGGCGCACAGGCCCATCACTTTTTGAACAAAACGCTTGCTCTTCGTTGGCACCCTTGTTCGCCGTTGTTGTCCTGGGTACACCTTCACCGCTCGCTTGCGCAGCATATCCCATCATTTCTCGTCAATATCGATCCATCCTACTTTTTTGCTCTTAGCTACGTTCGGGTATCGCAAGTTTTCCGTCCCCGTCCAAGTGTAATCAAGATGCTGCTTTGCCCACTCCAATCTTCTCTGCACGTCTTTAGCGCTGAGGCAAGGTACATAACGCTCGCACACTTGGCGCCAGCCAGCTGCTTTACAAAAATTATACACTGTTTTATACGCCACGCGCTTACCTGTTCTCTCCGTGAACCGCTTCGCGAGCGATTCCCACGTGAAGTAACCTTGGAGCTCTTCTGACAGATTCTCGAGCGTCTTCATGTCATCCTCCGTCAATGCACGCGGGCGCCCACTTCTCGGTCGAGAATCAACGTTTTCCTCCGCTCGCCACCGACGTAGGATCCTGTATCCATGAGGCTTGCTTATACCCCATTCCTTGCATACATCTGATACCGAGGCTTGTCCGTAACGCACGGCAAAGTGCACACACTTGGCAAAAGCAACCCTCTCCGTGTCGCTCAGTTCCCGCCCACCGCGCTCTCGCACGCCGCTTGGAGCCTTGAACGGGCTCAACAGAGGACCGAGGACTGTGCGCGAGGGTGTTTTCTCACGCTTCCGCAGCCTCTCGCTCACCGGTCGCGTGCGCGCGTCGCCGTGAACCTGCAACTTCGTCCGTCGAGGCGCGCGATTCAAACTTGATGGCGTGCGCTCTTCCTCGCCCCCTGAGCGCTCGGTGCCTGGGTTTAGCAGACCACGCGGCCAAAACATGTGAAACTTGGCACGCGAGCTCTCCGTCGCGCCCCGGGTCGATTTGTGTCGTCCGCGCGCGCGCTGGCGCGCGGAGCACGCGCGTTTCGAATTTTTTCGTCGATGGGCGTGCACACGTAGAAAAAAGGGGGAAACCCTAGGAGGGGTAAAAATTTAGCTAAATCGCTCTCGAACTTTTGCAACTTTTTTTGCGTTTTCCTATCATTTTGGAATTGACACAAAATGGAAATCATCACGCATCGGCGATTTTACGCAAATCCACACCGGGGAACTTGCATCGACGTACGGGAAATTTCAACAGCTTTCCATCGATGTACAGCATGCCTCGATATGATGCGATAACGCGTATAACAAAGCTCAGTATCATCACTTTTTACACGGAGGTTAGTATATATATAGTACAAGACCAAAGTTTGGTTAAATGTTCGTTTAACCAAACTAATTTTGAAAACGACGCGTTTTGAGTGACGTTGTCGACGCGTCGGAAACCACTTCACGTCGCCGCGCCGGAAGAAGACGAAGAACGGCGCGACGCGCGCACCGCGGTGATGGAGTCGAAGAAATCAGAGGTGCGGACCCGCAGACGAACCCGGCGACCGCGAAGTCGCGCGGCGGCGGTTCGGGCGCGATTCGGTTGCGCGACATGCACACGCGAAAACGCGTCGCGCGCAGCGTTGACGCCGCTCGCGAGCCCGGCGATGACGCGATGGCGTGCGACGCGGCTCGAAACGCTCCGGCGTAAATCCGTTTCGCCGTCGATCGCTCGCATGCGCGTGCGCGCGCGCCGTCGACGTCGCTGGAGGCGCGATCATCCAGATTGTCAGTCAGCCGGTCGGTTGTCGGCGGATGTGCAGATGTGGTAGGGGGTGGGCGGATTAGGAAGACTAGGACGATACTGACTGACCAACGCGGCTTGACGCGCGCAGTTGAAACAATCACGCTTGTTTGACGTTGGTGTGAAAGTCCAGGCAGAGAATCGCGCAGCGAATGGTGGCGTCGCCAAGTGTGTGAGTGAGGCGGAGTTTCACGCTCTGATTGAGCAGTTCAAAAAGGGTGAGCGTCCGAAGTTGCATGGCATGCAGGTTGATTTTCCCTGGCGAATCAAGCGATGTGCTGGACACGCCATCAAATGCCACGATGGTCAATTACACCGCGATTCCAAAGCGTGGGCGACGGTATATTTCGACTCGCAATGGTGTCGGTACGTCGTGGCGTGCGGACGCAACAAGACTCATACTCAGGATTTTGTGAAGGCGCAGGCGCCCGACGCGCTCGTTTTGGAGGGTCTCGTCGCGCCGTGGAACAAAGAATTTTACCAATCTCATTTGAGCAACGTGCGCGAGTATTATGCGGCATTACCAGACGACGAGAAAGTCCGACGCTATCATGCGAAGCAAGACAAAGTCATCAACGTGGATGGACGCACGTTAACGTATGGCGAGTGGAGAAAAAATGTTAACCAAGCCAACCATGAGAATGATGTCGGAGGACGACGTACCAAAGATCTTCAAAGGAGAAAGAGACAACGCGATGCCATCAGAAATATGCACGACCAATGTTTGTTCGCTGAGATAGCGAGCGAAAACTCGACGTGGATGCAGCAATTCACCGAATTGAAGCGTATGCATAATCTTTCACTTTATTCGCAGTCGCAATGGCGCGAGCTTCGTGACAAAATCATGACGTCAACATATCAGTGTTTACAATGGACTAACAAGGCTTTGATCCCGACTGGTAAGTTCGTCTCGATTTACGATCTCACGAACCCGCACAACTTTGATGAGGTCTATGCCGGCTTTTCACGTTGGGATACACACACCCCAGGGTACCGTCTTGAAGTTTCGAACGCCGTGCGTTACTCGTATGGCCGAGAAGCGAACAACATGTACGTGCTCGATGTTGCGAATGATTTGCCTCTTTACGAAGCTGGCGGTGACGAAAGTTCCGTGGAGGCATTTCTGCAGGCGACGCTGAGACAAATCGGTGCCAACTGCGTTCATGGCGAGGTGTACCGCACCGCTAACGGCGGTCGCTACACCGAGGAAGAAAAGACGTTGCGGAAAACGCTCGTGGAAGACGGTTTCAGTGACGCTAGCGCCAAACGTTTCATCGCACTCAAACGTGCGGCCGAAACGCGAGGAAACATTTTTGTCTCTTGTTTTCCCAAGGGTAAGGGCGGTTGGCAAGGGAAGACTTTGCGCAAAGTCGGCCATCCTGGAGAGCGGACGATCCCTGTGAAAACCGGAATCGACCTCGTTCGCCGAAACGATCATTATGACAACGTGGCGTCAACCTCCACTCGACCGCAACCGCGCAACGTGAATTGATAACGAATAGTAACGAACAGTAACGATTAGCATCGCCCACAATTGATGAGTTGTAATACATTCTGATACGGTACCCATGCACACATGACAATACACGAACAGTTGGGAACGCGGCGCAGGGGCGCTCGACGCGTCTGAGAAGACATCGATCGCGAACTCGACCGTGACTATTACAACTTGGTCCCGCACTCGTAGCAAAACTTTAACCGCTGCCCGTTGGCGCCCTCGAGCGCGAGGTTGATGGCGCACTCGGGGTTGGGGCACGCGGTTCGATCCGGGGCGGCGGTGCGCGCGAGCCCCTCGGCGCGCCGTTGCTCAAGCTTGGTGTTGGCCTCCGAGCGACGGATCTCCGAGCCTACGACACGGCGGATTCCAAGACTCATGTACGTCTTCTCTCGCTTTTCTTCGATCTGACGCACGCGCTCAGCTCTGCGTTGCGCGCGCGCGTCCTCGTCCGTCTCGCCCATGAGCTGAAGGAACGACTTCTCTCGCGCCGACGTCAAGGTCACGTCTTTGGCGGCGACGCCGACGTTTCGAAGAATCGATACCGCCGCAGTATTCGCATCAAGCTGTGATATGGCGAGGTCGATCGATTTCGAAAACGTCTCGGTGTAGAAACCTTCGACGCCGTCCTGTCCGCTGCTGCACGCAACTCCAAGAGCACTCGAATCGTGCATCTCCATCAAACGATCGATGATGTCGTCATACTTGAGCCCGTGTGTAGAAGATGAGGATTTTGATCGTCGATCGTCACGCGCGCACTCGATCGGTGGCAGCACGCAAGCGGGATCGAGGTGATATTTGACGTGCTCCTTCCAGAGGCGTGTATACTCGGCGAGCACGTCGCTCCCTTCGCCGCCATCCGCCGCCGTCCCGCGAAACGCCGCGGCGATGGCTGACAGCATCTTTGATTTCTTCACGACGCCGATATCTGGCGAAATTGCCGTATCCACGGATGGCAAATTCGACTCTGCGTCTTTGAATTCAGCCTCATCATCGGTGCAATAGTCTTCTTCGTCCTCCGAGAGCGCGAGAAAGTCCTCGATTTTCACACTCTGTCGATCACTAAGCATATTTAACGCCCGTTCCGCCTCCTCCAGAGCATCCTCTCGAGCCAATTTACTCATACTGTCGATGGCAACGTTCAATTTGTTCAAACCGCTCGCGCCCGCGCTCGCTGATAATCGTCGCAACAACTCCGCTGTCGTCGCCAACGGGCGAAGATTAAACTCGATGTAGCTCTCACCGTTGACCCCGCCACCAAGTCGTCGCACGGGGTAGAGCAACAGCGGCACGGCCCCATCTTCATCGGTGAAATCCCTATATTGTTGCTTCACCGAGTCGTTCAGCTTCGAAAGCCTCCACTGACATTTCACCACCATCGCTGGGACATCTCCTGGCGTCGATGCCTCCGCAACGGCGGTGCTCCACGCTGAAAAGAACGCACGTCGAACGACACGCGATTCCGGAACGTCATCGAAGCGAAGATGAAGCGATGGACTCGGGCTGAGATAGACGCTCGGAACGTCTTGCGCGTGCACAATTTCCACCACACGCAGCGCGCACGCCCTGGATAAAACATTCTCCATCCCGCGCGCGTCCGCGGCGACCGCCGACGACGATTTTATCTCACGAGCGCCACTCTCGTCCTCGTTTTCATCGTTCTCGAACGTCTCATCACTCTTAGCGCCGAAATCTAAGTGCGTCGCTCGCGCGCCGACCAAATCCAACCGCTCCCGCCCGTTCCCCCCCACGAACGTTAACGACCCCCTAAATCGCTCGCCCACATCAACGATCTCGTCTCTATCGAACGTCGTCACGCTCGCCCCCACCGCGTCCGCCACCGCGAGCGCGCCTTTATCCAGCGCCTCGCCGCTCTGCACGCACACTCGACATCGCGCCTTCTCCCCAAACACCTCCTTAGCTCGACGCATTGTCCCGTACGCCGCCATCATCGTCCGCGTCCAAGTCGCTGGATCTTTCTCAAACGCGCCAGACGTCCCTACTCGCTCTCGCTCGTCGTCATGCGATGCGAACCACACGACGTCCACCGCGTCGCCGCCCGCGCGCTCGCGCATCTTCTCCAACCGTTCGCACGCTCCGCTCGCCGCGCTCTCGGGCGAAGAGATCGATGCATTCACCCTCTCGCACATCACCCACGCCTTGAACGTCGCTCGATCGCCCTCGTGCGTCCACTGCGCGTCGTCGTCATCGCCCGAAGGATTCAAATCGCGCAGCTGTTGCTCAACTTTTTTACCGTTCCGAGCCCAATGTGCGCCGTTGAGGCGCTCGAACGTCCGTGCGAGATCGTTCAAACGCGTGAGCACGTCGTCCGCGCGTGATGACGCCTCGACGAGCGCCACGACGAGCCGTGCCATCGCACACGGCGCGTCACAGATTGACGATGAACTAAATCAAAGTCAAATCATCGTCACGAATCCCCGCACACGCCGACGCGCGTCGCGAATTGGAGCACGAAACGCGCGATGCTCCCGGGAAGACCGTTATTCACGTCCAACGCGCGATCGCGGACGCACAGACGGTCGTTATCGACGCCGATAGACGCTTTCGCGTCGATCGACTTAGCTCGAGCTTTGACGCAGACGCGCTCGGGGGATGGCTCCAGCGCGCCGTCGCCCGCGGACGAGGAGAACGACACCGCGCAAATGGTCGACGCGCTTGATGATAATGCGCCGCTGGATGTCAGAGAGCTCGCGATGCGGGATCCAAAGCGAGCGAGACGGATCTTGGCGAATCGACAGAGCGCGGCGCGGAGCAAGGAGCGGAAAGTAGCGTACATGAGCGCTCTGGAACAGCGCGTGGCGGAGTTGGCGAGGGAGGAGGCGGAGTTGGAGCGAGAGAGAGAGGAATTGACGCGGGAAGTGGCGACGCTGGGGGCGGAGAACGAGGCGTTGGCGATGTTTATGTATGATGGCGGCGCGTTCGCGGGAGGGACGCCGAGAAAGACGCCCGGAAGAGCTTGAGAGTGGATTAGAGAAGGAATATCGTAGTAGAACCGCGAGAGCGACGAGTATTATATGACGCGTGGACGTGCGTCGATGTCAAGAGCGGTTGTGTAATAAAACAATGAATGAAGCGAAGCGATGCGTGAGACGACGTCACCGTCGTCTCTCGCGCTAAATCTATGTATGCGCTCAAGCGCTCGAGCGACGATCACCCGAAGTGAGAAAAGAACTCGTAATCGGGATGGACCGTCTTTCGAGCGCGTAACCACGTGTACGCGCCGTCCATGAGCGCGTTCATCCACTCCGTGACGCTCTCGCTCGCCGCCCACACGTCGCCCTGCATCTTGTACATGGACAACCCAAACGGGCGCAACACGTGCACCTGCGCGTTCTCCCCAGCCGTCTCCTTCGCCCTACTCACTCTCTTCTCGATCAATTCTTCCTGTGTCTCGGACATCTTCGGCGGGAGCGGGCACGCGATATCGCCGTCTCGCAGCTCTCCCACGTACAACGCGTGATACGTCAGAAAACATCCCTGCACGTCGTGTAACATCGTCCCCTGAGGTATCCTGTAGATCGGATACCACGCAACGCTCATCCAGCTGTTCGGCGCTAAATCATCGCTCGTCAACGACCGCAATTCCTCGTTTTCGTCCAAAATCGTCCCGATCGTCTCTCGCAGCGCCGCCCTGCTGTACGGCGACGCCTTTTCAAAGAATTCGTACGCGCTGACAGTACCACCGTTCTCGTCGCGCTTAAACAGCTGTAAACCGCTCAGGAACGGAACGTAATACTGCGACACATCCTCGCCCTCCTGTAACCGCAGTGGGACCTCGGCGCCGAACGCGCTCGGCTCTTCGAAGGCGTCGAAGAGCTCGGATAAGGCGTAGGTCGACGTAGACGTGGACACTTCGCGCGCGCGCGCGTTCGCGTTCGTCGCGAACACGGGTGTGGCGCTCGCGACGAAGGCCTCGATGTTTGATATCGCGCACGACGGCTCCACTTCTGGCGGAGGGTCGTCGGTCGCCATGCTCGGGACGCCGAGAAGTGAGGGCGTCGCGACGCGCGACGCGCGCGGAAGTTTCCGTCGTTTACGTTTACATGGTATACTCGCGCTCGACGCCGGTGGAGGCGCGAAGCACATTTATCGAGACAAGCTCCTTTAATTCGTGCGCCTTGGTCGAGCTCAGAGCGTGACGACGACGGAGTTCGGGGTCAAGAGGAGGCGCACCTTGGCGTGCAGCGCCGCCGCGCGGAAGAGAAACGTGCCGACGCGAAGGAGCTTGGGGAGCTGGCTCGTCGCCCCCTCGCGCGTCTCCTCTCTCTGGGCCCAGATTCTCACTTCACTCTCGGCGACGAGCAGCGCGAGATTCCCAGCGCTCGAGGGACTTCGCGGCAGGGTCACGCCCTTGCGTCTCAGGAGCGCCGAGCTCGCCCATTGGAACCAGGCGCGCGAGTACTCGCTCACGCGATCCCTGGCGGTGAGCGAAAACCACCGCGCCTTGCGATACGTCCGCGCGATTCGACTGCTCTCATACGTATACGGGGCGTGACACACCCTGCACCGCGTCTCCACCGCCCCTCGCGACTCCAGGCCGACCAAGAACCACCGACGCAGGCACCGTCGGTGCACGAACCGCTGCGACCCCGCGCACGCGCACGGCTCGATCAACGTCCCGCACTCCGCCCCCGTGAAGCAGAATCGACACACCCGGGTATCTATCACCCCGTTCTCCCCCTTCCCGTCCTCGTTCGCGCCCGCGTCTTCCGTCGCGCCCGCCTCCGCCGCCGCCGCCGCGTCCGCCGCGTCCGCCGCGTCCGCCGCGTCCGCCGCCGTCGTCCCCGTCCCTCCGCGCGACGGCATCACCGTCTCCCTCGACCCCATCGGCTCCGCGTCCGACTCTTCATCGCTCGAGCTCGCGTCATCACCCACCATCGTCCGTCGGCGTCGCTCCTCTTCCTCCGCCCGTCGTCGCAGATCGAGCAAGGCGAGACCGGTGAGGATGACCGGGGAGCTCATCGATCGTGATTCCGTCGCCTCGACCCCGTCCTCGTTCGCTCGGACGCGCGGGCGCGCGTCCGCGTCTTCGCGCGCCCCTCGACGTCGCGCGCGTCGACGCGTCCGGCGCGCGCGCGGCGTCGAGGGCGTCGACGCGCGCGGCGTCGACCGCGTCCCGAGGCGTCGCCCGTAGTGTACGTCAACGAAGACCATCGACGCGTCCCGCGAGGCGTCGCCCGTAGTGTACGTCAACGAAGACCATCGACACGTCCCGCGAGGCGTCGCCCGTAGTGTACGTCAACGAAGACCATCGACGCGACATCTGCGGCGCCCATCGCGCCTGTCCCACGCACATCGACGACGGCGCGCGCGAGTACGGTAGATGCGCCGAGGACGTCGAGAGATAAAAACGTCCAGACGTCGCGACCGGACACACGGACACACGCGCGCGATCGGGCCACCGCGCGTCCCGTGGCGTCGCGTCGCGTCGCTCGACGCCCGCGAGGCGGTCGCGGGCGACGCGCGGGACGGGACGGACCGCGGGACGGCCCGTGGGCGCGCGCGCGCGAGGCGGGGGCGATCGGACGGGGTGACGGGACGGGAATTCCTCGCGTGACGACGTGACCGCGCGCGCGAGCGTCGAGGACGAGGATGGGGTCGAGCGACGCGCGGACGGACGACGCGAACGGGCTCGAGAGTGGGAAGAGTGCGGTGGAGCGGCGCGCGGCGATGGTGCACGCGGCGAAGGCGACGCTGCCGGGAGACGTGCGCGCGCCGCCGCCGGGGGCGGCGGTGCACATGACGGAACGGCAGTTGTACGCGTTTCGACAGCAGATCGCGGCGTACGCGCACATCTGTCAGCAGTTGTTGCAGATAACGACGGTGAGTGCGACGCAGCAGACGCCGAGACAGCGAGAGATGCGGCACGAGGTTCCGGGGGCGACTGGGGCGAACTGGGGGGCGAGCGTTCCGGTGACGGCGCCGGCGTCCGCGCCGCTCTCGAGTTCGAATCACTCGAGTGGGAAGACGCGAGGCGAGGATAAGCAGGCGAGAGGACCGAGGTGGACGGGGACGCCGACGCAGTACGAGATTTTGGAGGATCTTTTCCAGAAGGGTGAGCAACCGCCGGTTCGGGACAGGCTGACCGAGCTCACGGAGATGCTCAAGCAACACGGTCCGGTTCAAGAGTCCAACGTGTACAATTGGTTCCAAAATAGAAGGAGTCGCGAAAAGAAGTTACAAGCCATGGCCATGGGGCACTAGGACTGTGAAAAAAGATGGATGTCGACGTTGTAATACCGGTACCGCAGTGACTGAATATTTCTCGTCAATTTATTACACGCGCGATTCGCAGCCTAAAGTTCAAGGCGTCTACGGAGACGCGTCTGAATTTCCTCCAATCTCTCCGTCGCCGTCGGGTTCTTCGGCGACAGCACCAAGCTCTCCTCATAGCACTTGATGGCCTCCTTGAGCTCCTTCTTTTTCTCGTACGCCTCGCCGAGGTTGTTCCAAGCGGTGACGTATCCAGGCTGGAGCGCGACCGACTTTTTGAACTCTGCGATCGCGTCATCAATCTTATCCGTGTTGGAGTACCCGAACCCGAGCGCGTTGTGTACCAAGGCCAAATCTTGCTCGTCGCCGTCCCAGTTCGCCGCCGCCGCCTGCAGGTTCCTCACCGCCTGCGTGAACACCTTCTTTCGCAATAAAATGCTCCCCATTTCGAAGTAATCCTCCGCGCTGGCGTTCCCTGCACGAATGCGCTCCCCCATTTTCTTCGCCTGATCGTCTAGCTCCCGTCGAATTAAAACTTGACGCACGACGATGTACGCCGCGCCGCCCAGGATCGAGAGCAGCGACCCGAGATACAACCCCTGAATCCCGCTCTCGAGCTCACCGATCTCCGCCACGGGCACCGCGCGCGCGCGCGCATCCCGCGCTGATCGCGTGCCTCGTCTCTCGACGACGCAGACGTCCTCGATCGCGACGGATCGACCGAGAGACGACGAAACGTTCGCGATGGATAACAGTCCATCGCGAGCGGCGAAACGCGTTCGCGTCGCCGCGAAACGTCTGCGGCTCGATCGCGTCTCGACGCGAGCGGTGAGAGAGCACGCGCGCGGGGCGGGGCGCGTGAGCATCGAGCGCGAAGTGCGTCGACGCGCGTCGGCGTGTGGAGAGGAGAACGTCACGCGATCGGCGCTTCCGAGACTGAGCCAGGGATAAATCGGACGTCACAGAGCGACGCTCGGACGACGACGACGACGACGGCGACGGCGACGACGATGGCGACGACGATGGCGACGGGAATAGTCACGCGGTGCGACGCGCGAACGCGGTGTGTATGCGCGGGTGGACGACGACGTGCGATCGGGGCGAGGCGCGCGCGGACGACGCGGCGCGCGGGAGACGCGGGCGAGGACGGTTTACAGCTCGGCACGGCGAAGCTCCCGGGAGGGGTGGACGAAGGGGCAATGTGCGATGCGCTGTATCAGTGGGCGTCGTCGCTGACGACGAACGGGGCGAACCTACCGTTCGCGTTGGCGCAAGGCGTCGAGCGCACGAGCGACGGGTTTGAGCTGACGTTTCTCAAGCGCACGGGTGACGGGCCGGAGATGGCGGCGGTTGGGACGATCGCGGCGAGCATCGAGAGTACGCCGAGTGGCGATCGAGTCCTGATGATTCGGGGTTTCGGGAACGTGATGCAGTGCGTCGATACGCCCGTCGTCATGGGCGGGATGCCTGCGGCTATTCGCAAAGCGATCCTGATGTCTTCGTGAGCGTGTCTGGGAGCGATGCAAAGGATAGTAGTGTTAACATATATTTTACATGAAGCGCGCGCGCGTTTGTTTAGATTATCACGAGGGGGTACCGGGTAGAATGGAGTTGTAGTGCACTTCGGCGAAGAAGCTTAACCATAACGAACGGGGAGAACTGGCTGACTCGCCTCCGCTCGGCGTTATTTCGATGAAGCCGGACTCCATGTACGATGTTAATACGTTGATATCGACGCCATACGCGTCGGCACACGCTTGCAGTGTGAGGTGATCGCCCCATTCACCTTGCTGAGACATTCGCTGCACGTACTCGTCCATCGTCATCGGTGAGCAATAAGGAGAGTAGACCTCCGCTTGCTCTGCCAGGCGTTCAACCACCGCGGCTCTAACGGCGGCGTGATTCTCACCTCCATCGCGAAACAGTTGATCGCTGAGCGCTCGAAACTGACAGTTTCCATCTCCCTCAACAATTTTTTCACGCAGTCCATAGAAATCAAGACGCAATAACAGCCGCCCATGGTCAAAGTTTACGGCGCTCTTTGGGGGTGGGAAACTTCCGCTCTCCGGATCGACGACGTGTGCGTTCAACTTTGGTACAAACTGTGAGCCATCTTGCTCCCCATCGCGTTCGTGGACCGCGCGCGCGATTTCCTTGTCCCACGAGTCGTCGTCCCACCACCCGTCCAATCTTGACGCGTCGCTCAAGTTCCTTGCCAGCGCCTCATCGCTGGCGATTTGCGCGTCAACTTGCGCTTGTTCGCTCTCGTCGTGTGATAAACACGCCGCGATGGCGGCATCGTCCTGAGTCAGCGCGTTCTCGCTCTCTTCGGTGAGCATGTAGTAACAATCGAAGGTACGCTCCAGTGGGCAGATCTCAGACAGTTACGGCGAGTACTCTCGTTTTCGAGCGTATCAGATGCTTGGAACGCGTCGAGCGTGTCAGCGCATTATTTTTCGTTCGTTATTCGCGCACTGCAGGCGTGGTTAAACCGTAATGTGTTTGTGTTGTTGTATTGCATAGCGGAGGCGCATTGTGGAGTATCAGTTAGCTGCGCGCAGTCGCGTTTCGTTTCGTGACATAGTCTTGATTGCCTCACGCATCACGCATCAAGGCGAGCAGAACGCAGCGTCTTCGGTGAAAACGTTGGTATTTGTAACGCTCGCTTCCGGGAGAGTGAGCGTTGACCCTTCGATATGGCGAACAACGAAGAGAGCGCTTGAGGGACCACCGACCAACCAACACTCGGAACACAGAGCGATGTTGAGAAAGTTTACCTGTACGCCCGAGTCCGTGACCTCCGCGCGGGCGTACACGTTGCAGCCATTGGCATCATCACGCGGTGGTCCGTCTCGCGAGCGCACGCCGATGAAAATGCAGTCGATGGTAAACTCTTCCGGAGGCGCAACTCGGGACTGCTCACTCGATACGTCAATCACAGTGCGATCAAACGGAAGCGTAACGGATAATCCATTGAGACAGACGGAGTTCGAGACGATGCGTCCAAAGTTTATCGCAGTACCGGTGACAATGGCTTGCAGCGCACCTTCGCCGGGCAAAAGCTGCAGGCTTAGACGCGTATCGGCTTCGCGTAAACGCTTTGGCGCCGATTCCGAAGGACAAACTGTCACGTCCTCTGGAGCGCATTGTCCTGAAAGGTTTTCGACTGGTTCAGGTCCTGGAGCAGGTGGAACTTGACCAGGAACATTCGCACCAGGTATTATCGTGATGGTCGCCGCCGGGATCTGTATCGGAACGCCAGGTTGAAGAGTGAAGTACGTCGCCGAATCAGGTGGATCAGGTGAATCGGACGGCGAAGGCGGTTCCTGTGCAGGTTCCTGTGGTGGAAGAGGTGGCGCCATCGGCGGCTCCTGGGATGGTGGAAGTAGTGGTGGTGGTGATTCATCGATCGGAGGCGGAGACGGTGGAGTTTGCGGGAAGGTTCTTCTCGGGAACCAACCAGAGGTCCATGGAATATCTGGACCTCGATCCCACGCGGCGATTTCTGTCGGTCCGCGCTCAGCGGTGTAACCACCGCCAATCGACCGTTTGAGCCAGCAAGAGTGATACGCGAAGTCTACACAGTTGCCGGTGCAGTAAACCCAAGTATCGCAGTCACGTGTTTGCCAGCAAGCGAGGCAGCACTCATCTTCGCTGTCAACGATGAATTTGGATCCATCGCGAAGGAGTATTCCTTTGAGATTCAAGCCTTTTTCCCCATTGCACTGCGGCCCAGTGGTCGGTGGCACGGGTCTTGGTGGTACAGGCGTTGGTATTGGCATCGGAGTTGGCGTTGGCGTTGGCGTTGGCGTTGGCCCGCCTGGTGTGGCTGCAACCGGCTGGACAGGTTGTCCCCGTAAATCTCGCACACACGTTGGCTGACCGACAGACGGTCCAATGTAATCGAAACGCGAACCCGTTCGAGAGAAGACGGTGAACAGAGCATCATTTTCGCCGTCACCTTGCAGCTTACAACCGGGACAAAGTACAACTTGAGAGAACGATACCTCGAGTAAGATGACTTTAGGAGATGGTCTGCCGTCATTTCTGAACACACCATCGGGAGTGTATGAAGCCATGAAAAACTGCAAACGGCCGCACGGATCGTCGTTCTGATCTTGAGAAGAATCGCCTACGACGCGCGGAAAATTGCATTCGATTCCGTACTCGTCAACCGGATTTTGCACCTCATTCCACGTTCCGTTCGCGTTCACCCACGCGCTTAGGACAATCGGTACATTCACATCCGTCAACGTAAGCGCGCTTCCTCTCTCGTCGATACCAATGGATCCACGGAACTCGTACCGTTCAAACGGTGCAACGCGGTAGTTGCCATTCACGTCAACACGTTTTCCGAACCATCGAAGAGATGCTCGCACGCGCGAGAGAAAATCTTGGCATTGAAGAGTGAATGGTTGATCATCTTCCTCGTCTCCTTCGGCAAAATCTCCAGCGCCCGTGTCAGAGTGAGGGCGGAAAGACGGTCGAGCGTATTGTGTCAGATTGAATCCGTTCAATGGTCGTACTGGAGATGGTCCTTCGGTGACGTTAAGCTGGTTAGGTTCAGGAAAGAAAGGAATTCCACCGAAGAACTGCAGTAATTTTCTCCTCGTCGCATCTTGCTGAACAGGCGGCAGCGCATCAGCCCAGGTCCCTCCAACATCACATTGAAGAGCTTTCACGACTGGAGCGAGAGCGTTGAGAGTCGCTTCCGAACCGTGATTCACTGTGAAAAGTTTTCCGTCTCGCACCCGCCCAGTGATGGCAGCGTCTGCTGGGATTGTCAGGTCCGTGAGGGTGATTTCAACGCTGTCGATGTTTTCTTGTATCGTCGCGCGATCACACAAGGTATCGTCAAGCACTTCACCTCGCGATGAGATCAAAGTAAGACCGTTGCATTTCACCGTTGGTACACTCAGCGCATCGACGAAAACGTTCGAACTCCCGTCAAGGGGGCGGTAAGCGATGACGACCGTGACCTCTGGAATGTAAATTGTCGCATTTGCACAACAACCAATCGCACCGAGTACGTCGTACTCTTTCGCGTTCGGCCTCGAGCTTGGGACGAGAAAGTTTTTCAATTCTCGAACCGTATCGCACTCGCTTCTTCCAGGGGCATCAGTCGGTACTATCTGTCCGTTCTCGACGACAACGCCGTAACCTTCGAGCGGTCGCGTGATCGGAGTCGTCGGTCCGATAGGAATCGTGCCATTGTCCACCGGAATCTCCACCGCGATGGTTTGTATTCCGAGCTCATCCGCGAGTGCGGGGCAGTCTTCTGTAAAGTTGAAGCCACAAGCAAGCGGGGTGAATCCCACAAACTCGCGGAGGAAGATGAGATTTTCGTCCGTGATGAGCTTGAAGCCTTCATCGCAGAGACATGAATTGTTGTACAGGCGTTCGGCAGTCGCGCAGCAAGGTCCAAAGTCTGAGACTCGCGGGATGACGCCCACGTTTTGCTGAATTGCGCTGCAGTATTTTTGCGTAACCGTGAGCGTATCGGCGCAGCTCACGTCCTCGCGAAGTGATCCACCTTCATCAACGATCCGGATCCAATCTTCATTGGAGATCACAAAATCTGGCACCGCGGTCGGCGTGCTCAAAAACTGGCTCAACAACTGTTGATCTTCACACACATCGCCGACTTTGATTCTGAATCCGCACGCGAGCGGTGAAAACGCTGCAACTTCACCGACAGACACTTGAACGCCCTCGAATTCTCGAATGAATTCAGGGACGCAAAAGCATCCAGCTTCATCCAAGTCACTGAGTGCCACGCAACAGCTCGGGAATGAAGCCGGATTCGGAGCGCCCTTGCCCGCAGCTGAGATTCCAACGCATAGTTCTTGGACTCGTGGAATATTTGAAACACACAGTGAAGTGAGCTGCGCGAAATCAGAAGTCGGTACGAGCGCAATCACGCGAACGAGACGCTCTGCCATGACGTCGCAACCTCCCGAATCGCGTATGCGGTAGACCACGCGATATGTGCCCACTCTGCTTGTGTCCACGTCACTCGTATCGACGTCAATTTCATTCGAAATGTCGCCATCGATGTCATCCGTAGCAACGGCACCACGATCAACATACACTGAGTTCAGGAGAACCTCGTTCTGCACCGCATCCAGTCCGCCGACAACTTTGAGATTCGGGCACTCATCCGCTGGAGGTGGGCTTGGCGGTGGAGGAGCTGGTGGCGGGAAAGGCGACGGAGGTGGTGGCGACGGTGGAGGCGGAGACGGTGGAGGCGGAGACGGTGGAGGTGGAGACGGTGATGGGGATGGTGGTGGAAAAGGCGAAGGAGGCGGAGGCAGAGGCGGAGTTGGTGATGGAGGAGGAGGACTAGGTGGAGGTGGACTCGGCAACGGTGGCGGATTTGGCGGAGGTGGACTCGGCGGCGGAGATGAAACGCATCCCAATCCAGAGACCACTTCGAGTCCGGATTCACAAAGAGCCGGTACCGCAATCTCGATGACTCGAAGATCCTCGCCAAGCGCATCGATAGTCGCGCGATCGCAGAAGCAACGCTCAACGTTCATACCTCGCACGATGTCGCAGCATGATTGATCGAAAACTCCATCGTTCTGCCCGCCGAAAAAGGATTTACAGCGCGATCTTACGTCTGCGAGAAGCCTCTGACACGTTGGAAGCGGCGGTGGAGATGGAGAAACGGGGATCAGAGGCGGTGGCAGTGATGGAGACAGTGGCGGCGGCGAAGGAAGCACCAACGGTGCCGGTGGAGGCGACGGCGAAGGAAGCACCAACGGTGCCGGTGGAGGCGACGGCGAAGGAAGCACCGGCGGTGCCGGTGGAGGCGACGGCGAAAGAATCGGCGCAGGTGGCTGAAGTGGTGCTGATGGCGATGGAATCACGACAGGGGGAGGAAGAGGAGCCGGAGTCGGTGATGGCTCCGATGCGGCAATAATGCCGCTCGTCCACGTCACATTGAACCCACGCTCCCATGCTGGGATGGGAGCTTGCGCTAAGTCATTCCGTCCCAAGTGTTTCAACCAGCATTCACCAAACGTGTACTCGTAGTACTCGTTCCCGCAACCTCCCGGTGCCGCACAGAACACCCATGCCGTACACTTCTTTGTTTTTTTACACTCGGCGCAGCACTCAGTTTCATCATCGAGGATCAAATCCGATCCGCTGTTTAAAGGATGCCCTTTGTAGTTTGCGTTTCGTTCAACTTTGCATCCTTCAATCGAGGGTGGAGGCTCGGGGATTCGCTCAGCGAGTGAGCCGCTGATCCAAGGGACGCCTTCTCCTCTCGCGATCGCTGGCGGATTTCGCGGATCGCCTCCAACGAGGAAAATTTTGAGAATGCACGTCTGATAAGCGAACTCGCCATCGCATCCTCCAGTCTCGTCGCAAAAGTTCCATACCGCGCACGATGAGTCCGCGAGACAAGCATCGCAACAGGCGCTCCAAGAGACTGCATTTACGATTGAAATTTGGATGCCGTCGTAATTTGCGTTCGCTTCCGCTCGACACTCCTTGCGCTCGCTCGATGTGTCGAACGGCACTGGCTCAGTCGTCTTGTCCTTTATTGCGCCGGAGATGTATGTAACTTCCGCTCCTCGCTTGCCCGGGATGATATCCTGTGTGATGATTTGCGGCGCGGCGTACTTGAGTTCACACGCCGAATAAGAGTACGCAAACTCCGATCGGCCGCACCCGTCGTCAGCAGTGCAGAATGTCCAGACGTTACAGTTGGGATTTTCTCTGCACGCCAAGCAGCAAGCCTCTGGTGACGGCACCAAGAATAAGCCCTCGGTGATCCTCGATCCTTCGTATTCAGCGTTATCCTCTTCGTTGCATGGACGCACGACATCATTTGTTGATCCACCTCCGCGTGGGAAGCCTGTGCAAATCGGTTGACTTAAGTCATTCGAGGAAATCGTTGTGCCTGAGAATTCGCGACTATCGGTGTACGTCATGGAGAACATGACAGAATTTCGACTGCCAACGATGAAACAACCAGGGCAGAGCACCAATCCATCACCGAAACGCAGCTCGATACCGCGCTCTGTCGCAACCACATCGCACGACGCGCGCGTGTCAGCAGGTGGTACAGACGAAATTGGATAGACGACTTGCACGCCATCACACGCTGATTCAAGCTGCGTCTCATCGTATTCGCCTCCGAGATCGATCGCGAACGCGACCTTGGATGCGTCGAGAGTGCCGCAACTTCGATGTCCCACGACGCCATGAACGGAGGCGCCAGCTCCATCAACAGACGCAGTGAGCGTACTGAAGACAACGTCAAGCAAGCTCGGACACGCGCTCAGCACGATCATCGCGTTCGGGTTCCAACCAAACGTCGAGGTCAAGGCCACGTTCACGTTCTCTGGCGCGAAAGTGGAGAAAACAGAAGCGTCGCACGTAGGCTCGAGCGCTCGAATGGAATCGACATCCATTTCGCGCATTTGAGAATCGCGAAATGAGAACAAGAAGTTGGAGTAGCCTCCCGCCAAAAATTCGCCCACGTTGAGAGCGACATTCGAGCCGAACACGATGCGTGGTCCGACGTCATTCATTTCGATTCGTACATCACCGCAATCCACCAATCTCCTGGCGCCGCTTGGATTTATGATTTGCGCTCCCCAGCATGTAAACTCAAAGTCTCCCGGAGTAAAGTCAGGAGTCTGAAAACTCGTATCATCGTCGTTCGATCGAACCAATCTCGAAAACTCGTATTGAATCGTTACCCCATTTAGGTTCACTTCTTCATCGGCGTCGTTGGAGATCAGAGCGCTCGCGTACGTCTCGAGCGCGACGCGCCCGTCGATAGCATCGACGCCCACTTGAAGCATCGATTCGCTCGCGCTCGAACTCCATGCGTACGCGTCGACGCGCAACGCGCCGCCGTTGAATGCCTCGCAATTCGTTCCATCGAACCTGCTGTCGGCGAACTCATCATCGGCCTGTTTGCGAGGCGCGTAATTGCAGTCAGTCTCGCTTACGAACCATCGATGTGCGCGCGCACATCGATGCCGCGCACCGCGCACCTGCAGCATCGACCTGCTCGTCCCTCGCGCGACGCTGGCGCACATCGCCTGCGTGAGTCATATACGCACGGCGTTCGTCTCGTCAGTCTTGCACTCGCTCGCTGCTCGTTCGCGCGTCGTCATCGTCGTCGTCACCATCATATCACAATCACCAACTCGGAGAAGGTGAATCGCCGCGCACCAAGATCACGACCGCGACGCGCGCGCGACCGGACGCCACGCCCCCCGTCGCCCGCGTTCGACGCATCATTTTATCTTCTCTTCTCTCGCTCCGAGCGATCGTCACCTCGCGTCGACGCGCGCTCTCACGCCTCGCGATGTGAAGAGTGCTCGGTTTTTTTGTTTCCTTCACCACCATCACCGACCGAAAGGAGACGAACATCTCTGTCGCGCCCGCGCACGTCGTCGCGCGCGATCGGTGAGCGTTCGATGTCCACCGACGAGCGCTCGATCGCGATCAAGGCGTCGGCTTTGTGCGCCGGGTTCGCCGTCGGTGCGATCGTCGCGCGCGCGGCGCTCGAGCGCGGCGTCGATGGAGGCATTCGTGACGTTCGTGAATTTCTCGTGCGTGTGCGCGTGATCGTTCGCGAACGCGTCGTGAGGGCGCTAGAGACTTCGCAGACGGTGAGGATGAGTGCGCCAATTTCTACGGCGGTGGAGGCGGAGGATGAAGACGTGGACGCGGCGTTGGTGGAGAAGTTTCACAAGTGCGCGAACCAGTTCAAGCTCTTGCTCATCGACGCCGACGCGTACTTCGAGCCCGGGGTCAAGGCAAAGATGTACGGTTTGTATAAGCGGTGCCAGTGCTCGTTCGACACGGACGCGGTGCGGCCGACAAATCCATTGGACGTCGTGGGTAGGGCGAAGTACGACGCGTGGAAGAGCGTGAGAAATCTTTCGCGGCGCGAGGCGATGGAGTCGTACGTTGAGACGTTTCGAGAGTGGGGCGAGCGATACGAGGAACTCTTGGCGATCGAAAAGGCGCAAAAAAGAGATGAAAAGGGATTCACGGATGCGGATAAAAAGGCAGCGGAGGAGTTCCACGACAATGACAATGAACTGAAAGTGTTCGGAAGGGCGTGGTCGATGGGCGGAGCGCACAGTCAGCCGATCGCGCCGACGCAAGAGGAAGAATCGTCGAGCGATGACGTCGAGGCTTTGATTGCGGCGTGCAGAGCCGGAGACGAAGACGCCGCCGTGAAAGCGTTGCAGAATGGCGCAGACCTGAACGAAAGAGATTCGCACGGACGGACACCCCTGCACTGGTGCGCCGACGGCGGACACACGAAGCTCGCGATGCACTTGTGTTTGCTCAAAGCCGACGTGAACGCGCAGGATAATTACGGCCAGACGCCGTTGCACTACTCCGTTAGCTTAGAAGACGCGGAGACGGCGAATTTACTGCTCGATTGGGGCGCAGATCCTTCCATGGAGGACGCTGAGAGTGACACGCCGGAGAGCATCGGGCTCTGGGACCTCGCGGGTGCTCGCACATTAGAAGGCGAGTGAACTTGTTCATCGGAGTATATGTACAACAAAAGAATTTCTAACAAGCAATATTAAGTTTTTGCTGCATTTGATGCCTTGGCTTGCGACCCGTGCACGAGAACCGGCGCCGCCTTGGCTCCTAAACCGGCTTTACCGACTTTCCAAATGGTGAACGCGAGTTGTCCTTTCAAAAAGAATAGCTGGAGGGGGAGGACCGATATGGCGACCGCGTCGCTCAGTCGGGCGCGAGCGCGCGCGAGAAGCCCTGGTTTGGGGATCTCACCGCTCGTCGAGAGAGCGCGCTTGGCTTGTGCGTTCGCCAACCCCTCGTTTGCTGCCTTCCAAATGACCGAGTAACGATTCACAGGACTTCCGAGTTGCTCATTGACGTATCTCAACAGATTATTCGCCTTGAGCACGAGCAGGAGATCACGAGGTAACGTCTCGAACAGTCGTGTCTGGTCCTCCAACTTCACGCCCATGATTTGCTTCATCACCGCCCGCTTCTCGGCAATGGTGAGCGAGTCAGCGGACAACGCGCGTTTTGCGAGCGGTTCCTCGGCGACCCGTGCTGGGATCACGACGAGGATGAGCTTAAAGAATTGTGACATCTCAGGATCCATGCCTAAATCAGACGTCGCGTCTCGTAAAGCTTTGTCGTCGGATCGCATGAGTGCGAGCCAAAGTCGCGCCCACTTTGCGCGTAAGTCGTCGTCCAGACTTCGGTAAACGCCGTGGTCCAGGAGGATGATTTTTCCGCTCGAGTCCACTAAGATGTTCCCCGGATGCGGATCTGCGTGCACAAAGCCGTGCACGAATGTCATCCTTGCGAATATCTTCTGAATTCTCGCCGCGACGGCGGGAACGTCGATGCCCATGCGTTCGAGCGCCTCTCGATCGTCGATGCGTGAACCGTCGCACCACTCCATTGTCAACACGCGCTTACCGCTCAATTGACCGTGCACGCGCGGAATCTTGAGCTCACTCTCATCGAACTCATTCGCGAGCATCTTCTGCGCCTTGAGCGCGTTCGCGGCCTCGGCGGTGAAATCCATCTCCTCGTTCATGTGCCTTCGCGTCTCGTCCGCTAACCATCTAAATCGCAACCCGGGGACGAGTCGCTCCATGAGCGAGTAATACCCCTCGATCGTCGCCAAATCACTCCGAAGAAACTTCGCCACCGGTCGCTGCTGAATCTTCACCGCCACATCCTCCCCCGCGAGCGTCTTCGCCCGGTACACCTGCGCCATGCTCGCGCTCGCGAACGGCGTCTCGTCAAACTCTGCAAACGCCTCCTCAATGTCCATTCCGGTCTCCTCCTTGAACGTCCTCCTATCCTCCTCGAACGGCCTGCGACTCGCGTCATCCATCAGCTCCCTCAAAACAATCTGAAACGGTCTCGGCGCGATCGGTTGCGCGCACACGTGCTGTCCCGCCTTGACGTAGATACCCCCTAAAGACCGCGCGCAGTCCCGAAATCGCTCCGCCACCCGTGTCCACAAGATTTGTCTCGACGCTCGCACGTCGTCCTCCGTCGCGTTCGCTCCCATCGCGCGCACTCTCGCGCGGTGCGCGCGATAATCCACGACGTACATCGGCGCAAAGTGCGCCGACGCGACGCCGAACCGTCGCGCGCGCGCATAGTAATCCTCCGAAAGATGTGCCAGCGTCGACGCGCCGCCCCAGTCCCGCGTCGCGTCGCTCGTCGACGTTCGCGCGCCGTCGTCGCGATCGAGCGCGCGCGCGCACGCCACGGCCGCGCCCGCGCCCGCGAGGAGCGCGCGCGTGGACGTCGACGCGAGCGCGCGTCGCATCGCGCGGGCGTCTCCCGACGCGTCGCCGACGGGGGGTGTGCAAAGTGTCAACGTCGCGTGTGGGCGAACAGTCTCGCACAGTGACAGTGGACGACGACCACGGACCGACGGCGTGAACGACGCGCGACATGGCGACGCGATCGGTGGTGCGAACGGTGGTGCGGGCGGCGTCGCGGGGGCGATGTCGCGACGCGCGCGACGTCGGTCGGTGGAGAGACGGACGGAGGCGGACGACGGCGATGGATGCGCGACGACGGAGCGGTGTCGAGGCGTCGTCGTCGTCGACATCGCCTCGAGGACGCGATGGCGCGCGCGCGTTGGCGACGCTGGCGATGACGTGCTACTGGAACGTGGGACAAAAGGGGTTCTTTGACGTGGAGGCGACTGCGGATGAAGCGCTGGAGCTCGGGACGCCGCTCGGGTTTGAACCGCTCATCGGCGACGGCGGCGAGTTGCGCCGACGGTGCGCGCGAGAGTTTGGTAATCTGCGAGTCACAGCGTGGTTGAACGGCGTGGACGAGGGAAACGGACGAACGACGCGCGCTGGGGTGCTCACGTCGGATGATTGGGTGATCGTGGCGTTCAGAGGGACGACGCCTTCGCCTCTGCGCGGACTAATCTTTGAGAGCCAAATCAACGGACGGGCAGGACAGACGACGTGGGCGAGCGGTGCCGGTCGTGTTCACGCTGGATACGCCGCGGCGTACGAGACATTGCGAACGAAACTAGAAGACGCGGTGAGGGCGGAGATGGACGCAAGTGGGGGATCGAAAAAGTTGGTGGTCACGGGCCACTCGCTCGGCGGCGCTCTGGCGACGCTCTGCGCGGCGCGCTTGGCTAGCGAATACGGACCCCAGGGTGCTCGTGTAGACGCCGTGACGTTCGGCCAGCCGCGGGTAGGTGACAACGAGTTCGCGAAATATTTGGACCAGGATTTGAGCCTGGATTACGCCAGATTTGTGCACGGCGGCGATTTATTCAGCCGCGTGCCGACATCGGGCTATTGGTTGCCCACCGCAAACGAGGGACGATTCGACGTCGAGTACACGCACGCCGGTTCGATGCTCTGGACGAACGCGAATGAAAACTCATCGACGAATCGTCACATCTACGCCCCCAAAAACTCCGGCGATCCGGACGGTTTCTCCACCGACTCAAGGATGATCAATCCCGTTACGGTTGCCCGTCACCACTCGGGATACGCAAATTTTTTCCAAGAAGACCCGTCCATCTTCGACGCCTGGCCCGCGACCGGGACGCTTTAATCGTTAGAAGTGTAAAACACAGGCACCGTCGATCAGTTCGCTTCGAAGAGCCGCGCACGACGCGCTTGACGCGTTCCTGGCTCCAGAGCTCAAATTCAGTCGGTCGAGAGTTCTTCTCGCCGGGCTCGCACCAAAAGCCGTACACGTCAGCACGAACGCGCGAAAATATTCCTCACTGCCCGACGCTCGCGACCGAACGACGCGACGAAGCCCTCGACGCGCGATCTCACGCAGCGATCGTAAATATTTCTTTGCATATGTTCACCTCAGCGAGCGCGCTCAACGTCACTCGCGCGACGCTTCGACCGACATTTCAGAAGCGCAATTCGACGATTCGTGTGAACCGTGTCACCAGGGCGATCTCCGTCGACGACGTTACGGGTGCGATCACGTCGACGGTCAAGGAGGTGCAGAGCGTGCGCGGGGCGAAGGATGTGCTTCAACGCGTCGCCTTGTATGGGGTCCCGCTCACGACCTCGGTGGTGACTATCCAAGCCTTGCACTTTGGCGGCGCTGGATTGGGCCCGGCGATGAAGATTGCGGGACTCGGCGCGTGCGCGGGACCACTCGCGCCGTTGGCCGCCATCTGGCTGTTCTCCGTGGTTTCTCCGTACGTTCAAGCTATTGCGGGCCTCGCGGGGGTCCTCCAAGTCGGTGAGGACATCCCGGCTTGGTTCTGCGGAATCTCGTTTGCGCTCGCCGCGTGCTCTCTTTGGCACTACGGCTCCGCCGGGTTCACGAACATCTGGACTCGTCACTGGGTCGTGTGGCAGCTCGGTATGGCCACGACCCTTCTCACGTCGACGAACAAGGTGAAGGAAGTCCTCGGTAGAAAGGTCGATGGCATCCGCAAGGTCGCCCTGATCGGTCCCGGCTTGGTGATGGCGGCGCTCTTCTTCCAACAACCCAGCATGGCTGCCTTTGAAGCCGCCGGCTTCAGCGGCCCGGGCGTCCTCGGCCCCGTCGCCGCCGCCGTTCTCCACCCGCTTTGGAAGTGGTTCATGATGTTCGGCGGTCTGGCCTACCTCACCGACGCCGAGACCAAGTACTCGAGCCTCATCATCGGTCTGAGCATGCTCATCGTCTCCATCTCCATCATGCCGCAGCTCGTGGCTCCGCTCGGACTGATGGGTTCGTGGATGCACCTATACGCCGCCATCACTCTCCTCAAGGAGGTGACCCCGGCGGACTCCCTCATTCCGAGCGTGTGAGTCGGTCTCAAGCCCATCAAGATCCCCCCAAGAACGTAACATATCCTATAATATCCGTCGACGCGCCCGCGGCAGAACCAGCATCGCGCGTCGCGCTGTTGTAAAAGAAATCCACCTCTGGTTCACAAAACTCATCATTCGTCGCACTCGTCGCCTCGCTCCCAGTCGTGATGTCCGCCGTGCCGCTTAAAGTGAGCTCCACCGGCTGCGTCGCCTTTTACGCCCCTAAACTCACGTCCAAGCGCGCGCAGAGACGCGCCGACATCGTGAGAACGCGCGCCGAGTGCGATGACGTGACGAAACCTTCGGAAGCGTCATCGATGGATGATTCTCGACGAACGCTCTCGCGACGACCGTTGATCGTGCTACCGCTCGCGATGGCGAGCGCGTCGACGGCGAGAGGGACGGCGCACGCGAGCGAGTTCGCGACGCCGGAGGCGATGGCGGTGCTCGAGCGCAAGGGGCCGATCGCGTACAGCGACGAGGAGTGGAAGCAGAGGCTTGAGCCGTTCTCTTACAAGGTGCTGAGAAAAGAGGCGACGGAGCGACCGTTCTCGAGCGAGCTGAATAAGGAGAAGAGAGTGGGGACATTCCTGTGCGCGGGGTGCGGGACGCCGCTGTTCGATTCTAGGGCCAAGTACGACTCCGGAACGGGTTGGCCGAGCTTTTACGAGCCACTCCCAGGGGCGGTGATGGAGGTTCCTGATTTCTCAATCATGTTCCTGCCGCGAAGTGAGATTCGATGCAAGGCGTGCCAGGGTCACTTGGGGCACGTTTTTGAGGACGGTCCGCCGCCCACAGGACTGCGGTACTGCATGAACGGGGCGGCGATGCGGTTCGAACCAGAACAATCTGCGTAGGGCACCCACTCATCGGCCGATGAAATTCTTGTAATCACCGAGCGCGCATCCGTATTGGTCGATCCACTTGAACCACTTGCGCCAAATCTCATTTGTCGATAACGTGCGACGATTTCCAAGGACGATGAGTCCACGTCGTGCCCGTGTGATCCCGACGTTTAAGCGGCGAGGATCGTCGACGAAACCGATGCCGCCTCCTGTGTTGCTTCGAACGGTGCACAAAACGATAACCTCCTTCTCTCTGCCCTGAAATCCATCCACGGAGCGAATTTCTAGCTCTTTCATTTTATCTTCGTCGGTGTAATCCAGATAATTCCGTTTTGCGGTCCCGAGAACGCCGTATTCTTCCTGCAACAGGCGAACTTGTGCGGCGTACGGAGAAATGACGCCAATGTCGCCGGGCCCGGCCAAATCGCCGGAGGCGAGGATTTTCTTCACCACCGTGATAGCAGTCTTTGCTTCTTCGACGTTGTAAAGACTGTTACCGTCCGGAGCTCGACATTCCGCATCGTTAATTTCCAAAAAGACCACAGGGACGTTCGGCTTCGGCCAAGCGACTCCGGGCACGATCGGACGGTCCTGCGGTGTTGGCGCCGATCCCACCTTGCCACTGTAAAACGCCTGGGACGGGAATTCTGCGATGAGTGGATGCATGCGATACTGTAAATCGAGTAATGAAACCTTCACTCCGAGTCTCTCCATGCGCTCAAATATGGAAATCTGAAGGCCGGCATCAACCGCATCGCGGGACACAACCGTGGGTGGTAATTGTCTCGAATCACCCACGAGCACAGCACTGAGCGCTTTACTCAGAGCAATCAGTGCCGCTGGCTCCGTGCATTGCGTGGCTTCGTCCAAAACGGTAACAGGAAAGGTGAGATCTTCCAGTAAGTCATCGCCGGCACCTACGCAAGTTGAGCACACAACATCCACGGACTTCAAAATGCTTTTCGCCGCCGTGAGCTCAAGCTGCGTGGCTTGTTTACGCTGACGAGCGTATGCTGGCCCCGATAAACCTCTGATGGCATCACGCATAGCCGCCGCCTGTCTTCCAAGAGGGTGCTGTGCAATTTGCGCATCAAGGGTGAGCTCTTGGAGCCATGGTTGTACTTTTGCTGGTGCTCCCAGGCGAACCACTCGCAAGGGCCGACCATCGATGACGAATTTTTCCTTCGCTAAACCTTCGAGGATGTTATCGACGGCGACGTTTGACGCGGCACTCGCGAGAACAACCGGCCCTTTGCCTCGTCGGCGCTGTATCGACGCCAGATGTACCGCTGCGCCGATGTACGCTATGAGCGTTCGCGTCTTACCTGTCCCGGGCGGACCCTGCCACACGGCGAGCGAAGAGCTCGTCGCGCTCTTTACCGCCACGCGCTGGCTCGGATTGAGCGGATCGCGAACGAGCTTGATCGCCGCTGCCAGATTTTGTTTTTGCTCTTTGCCCGCCCACTGCGGCGGCATGTTCGCCAACTGCTCAAGAGTCCCATTTTCATCGGGCACTCCAAGTAACGCTCTTTGCAAAATCGAGTACGACGTTGAGCTCTTTCGGTCATCCGTCCGTCGTGGTGCAGCCGACGAACCAGGCATGCCTCCTGGTTCGGAGAACGCGACGAGCGCGGCGAGCGAGCGGTCGTGAGCCACCGTGTTCGCGCTCAGGTCCACCCTCCATTTCGACCCGGTCTCGATTAAGCGCGCGAGATCGTCTTCGTGCACGGCGACAGTGATGAAGTGCATCGATCTGAGGGCGACGACGCCCGTGATCCCACCCGCGGCGTCGTGCTCGTCACCTTCGCTCATCTGCACCATGTCGCCAGTCGTGAAACGATGGTACGGCAGCTCGCGTCCGAGGGGACTCATATCGGACGCATCGGCGAACGGAATCGTCAACCGCACGAGCGCATCCCTCTGAAGCATTCCCTCGTACCTCGCTCGCATCCCCAAGATCGCGTACCCCTCGCTCACCAGTCTCTCGAGCGTCCACGTGTTCAGACGCTTCTCCGAGAGCGCCATCTCTTCCTCGAGCTCGCACTTCAGCCCCTTGGCGAACCTCTCGCGATGCGCCGCGAACCCCAGGCGTAACGCCGCGCGATTACTCCCTCGAGATCTCGTCCCCGACGTCGACGCCGCCGACCCCCCGTGCGCTCGAGCGCCGCCGTCGAGCAAGTGCGCGTAACTCGTCCCGCTCGCGCCGTTCTTCGTCGCTCCCAATCGCGCCCACAACTTCTCCCTCTCCTCCGCCGCCTTCCTCGGATCCCTCGACGCCGCCTTCCCATAAGTTATCGTCTCCTCCGCCGCCGTCGGCGTCTCGGTCAGATCCCGAACCGCGGTCCGTCTCTTCACCGCGCGCGTCGCCCGCGTCGTCTCCGCCGCCGTCCGCGCCCGCGCCCGCGATCCCGTCTCCTCGCTCTCCCCCCTCTGTCTCCGCCCTCGCGCCGCCCGACGCGCCCGTCCACGCGATGACTCCGACGCATCCATCGTCCCCTTCTCGCCCTCGCCCGACGTCGACGCGCGCGCGCGCGTTCGCCCGACGCGCCGCGTCCGCGTCGTCACCCGCATCGGCGTCGTCACCCGCATCGGCGTCGTCACCCATCGCCCATCGCGAGCGATCGCTCGGGTCCATCGCCGCGCGCACGTCGCGCGTCCGTCGTCGGACGCGCGCGCGAGCTCGAGCGGCATTGG